GGAGAATTCGCAACTTGTTTTGGGTTACCCTATTGCACCTTTTGCAGTTAGGTAGGGTCCCGAACGAAAGTAGGGTCTACCGGTATCTCGGGTATCCGACTCTAGTAGGCGCAGCTGAGCATGCAGGCGAACTTCGATTGGGTTGGAAGCCAACTTCGAAGACGACGAGTGTAGAACTTCTCAGCACGAGCGAGCGTTGAATGAAACATGGTCCTTTGGAGCTCGCTGCGACACCCCTAAGGCTTCTGAAGGGGACTAGATGAGTGGGCCCTGACCTTGTCTGAGCGGGCTGCAATGGCCTTGCCTACAGCAAACACAATCCAAGTGCAAAGCCCCTCACCTGCTTTCTCCGCTTTCAAGAACCTGAAGGTTGGCAAAACGGTGGTAGCCAAAGGGGTGCAGCCAGAAAGAGGCAGTCGGGTCAAGCACGGCCCAATGTTAGCTATGTCTGTCTCAAAACAGTCAGGGGTGGGGTTTGGAAAGCCTGTTTGTATATTCTGCAGCAGATTGAAGGCTCGTCGCATTGGAGAGGACAATTGGGGATGGCCCGGACAGCATGCGTTGCAAGGGCCACAGTCTCTGCCTCTGAAAGCGCAAGTTTCTGGGTTGTTTTCACATCGAAACGGCGTCGAATTGGAAATGCCAGGGTATGTTGTGCGGCCAGGCAGTCAGAGGCAAGTAGGCCGCAGTTCAACATCAGTAGGATTGGATAGCGATAAAAGTGATTGGGCCGGAGGGCGAGCTGTTGGCTCAAGGAAATTTGCTGCTGGCGCCTCACAATCAGACGGCCACATCGGCCAACACGACTCACTTCCCAGTTCATCGGCGATTGATCAGCAAGGGCATTCGCATGGGGACCAATCGCACAGCAATGGATTTCAGCCTGTACAGAACGCCGCACAAATAGATGCGCTCGAGCACAAACGCGAACATGAGCACGGGCACCACCGACAAAATGAAAATGGATATGAACCCAGACATAATCGCAGTTACACTGAAGGGCATGCACAAGGTCACACGCACACTCATGATCACGCACACGGACACAGTCCTGAAAGTGACCACACACACGATCACGAACACGATCACGGACAAAAAGCTGGTCACTCGCATGGGCACGGGCATGAAAATGGCCATAGCCACAGCCACGGCGGTCACAGCCACGGCGGCGTCGAGGCCGTGCACGACCCGAACCGCCTCCAGGCTGCCATTCTGGCAATCGCGAAGGCCCTCCGATGGTACCAGCTCGCAAACTTCCTGCGGGAGAGTCTTCCGGTCGCGTTCGGAGCCAGCGCGCTGCTCCTGTGCTCGTTCCTCGTACCCCGGGTGCTGCCGACTGCCGTTGGGGCGAAGATTGGGACAGCGCTCGTAACGGCGGTGTTTGGGCTGATCGGGACGCCGGCGTTGCTGGACTCGATGGTCGATCTCGCGGGGGGGCATATCAACATCCACGTGCTTATGGCGTTGGCCGCGTTCGCGAGCGTTGCGATGGGGTCGCCGCTCGAGGGGGCGCTGCTGCTGTGCCTATTCACAGTTTCGCACGCAGGTGAGGAAGGTAGAGTGTGAGAATGGGGATATAGGGATCGAGGGCATTTGTCTGTGGAAAGACCAAGGGAAGCCAAGGGTTTAGATCTTGCCCGAGATGCGGAGATTCTTCTCATTACTCTTTGGTCGAGAAAACCCTGTGCAATGGAGGTCTGGGGATCAAGGGCGTTTGACTGAAAAAAAGCACCCGGAGGTCATTGAGGGTTCAGATCTGGCCTGAGAATAGGTCTCTGACTCTCCTCTGGAGAACCACTGTTAAAGGAGAATAGATGAGATAGAGGGCATCTTTCTCTTTAGGAAGATAGAGGAGAGCCGATGATTTAGATCTGGCCTTCACTGCCAGGACGCCTCTGAGTGCTTTCCAAATGCAAAGCCCAGGATCGACATCCAATTGTTGCTTGCAGCATGTGCCTGTCTGACCTGCTTCCCAGCCAGCCAGATCTAGGAAGCTTACTGCGTTGTACGAGAAGTCACCGCTTTACACTTTGGTGCCCCTTTGGCCCCCCGCCAATGTCACACACCCCTTCAGTCTCATTGTGCCATCAGATCAACACGGGGCTGATGTACCGGGCCCTTTCCCTGCAGCGGAGGATGCATTGATCGAGCGCGCGCAGACTGATGTCAGCGCACTGGAGGAGCTGTCCCCTGAGTCTGCTCTGGTGCTCTCATACTTCGATCCAGCTCACCCCCCTGCCATGAACGCCTTAGTCTCCAACCCAGTCCCTCTCAAGGTGAGCTCGAGAGCATTGTTAGGAATCTTGAGAAAGCAGTCGTCTGTGTGATGCCGCGGTACTGTCCTGATGTTGTTTAATGAGTGCGCTGGTTCTTTCCAATACCTCTGTAGTGAGGGTGCGTCCGACTTTGTCAACTTCGACTTGATCCTCCCTCTCGATTGCTCGTATCAAGAGCCTTGTCATCCTCACTCAGTCTCACTCACTAAAAATGATGAGGAAATTGACTTGCATGACTTGCATGTAACCAACAGAAGGACGTCATTGTTATTGGGGAATCCCTCTCACTGCTTCCAAACGTTCGAGATTGGTCCCGGCTCGGTTTCTGCTGCTCTGGCAGAGGACACGTTCCCACTAGCATTCCACGCTCTACATGCCAGCACGAACCTGACGAAAAAATTCCTTCCCCTTTTTTGAAGAAGCTCTCTCCACACTCTTTCTCAATCCTGACACGTCCCACTGCCCTCGCAGACAGTGGCACGGAACTCCTTTGTCCTGGTGCGGGCGGGGGAAACAGTTCCCCTGGACGGCGTTGTGGTGATGGGCAAGTCTACGTGCACTCTGGAGCACCTGACCGGGGAGTCCACCCCCGTGGTCAAGAAGAAGGGGGACTCGGTGCCCGGGGGCGCGCAGAACTTGGAGGGCCTGCTCATTGTCAAGGTGGGCCGAAACGCGTCTTGCTTTTCGGACTGGGTCGTCTGTGAAAAAAAGTTCGGCGACAGGGCACTCCTGTCGGACATAGGGGGACGGTCAGCCGATCAAGGACTTGCATAAGTGGAATCTGTGTTTGGTCGTCCAACTAACACAAAAGTCGGCAACAGGAGATCAGCGGTTTTTGGGCTTTGATGATTTAGTACGTACGACGTGAATGATCAGCCGGCGTTTTGCGAATCTTTGGGCGGCCAAGTGTGCGTCACTTATTGGGCTTGGAAGCTTACGCAAGGCAAGAAAGCTTCTTCCAAAACAGTCAGGCGCTATTCTTAACCGTCGACAAGCCTTTTCTTCTCCTCCTCTAACCCTCGTCTAAACCCTTCTCCTCACCGTCTGCCAGGTCGAGAAGGTCTGGTCCGACAGCACCGTCGCGCGTATCGTTCGACTTACCGCCGAAGCCGCCGCCGGGCGTCCGAAACTCCAAAAGTGGGTCGACGAGTTCGGCGAGAAGTACAGCCAGGTCGTGGTGGTCCTCTCCGCTCTAGTTGGCATCCTGGGGCCGGTCCTCTTCGGGTGGCCGCTTTCCGGTCGGGGGGAGAGCCCCGGGGCGATCTACCGGGCGCTCGGGCTGATGGTCGCGATGTCGCCGTGCGCGCTCGCGGCCGCGCCGCTGTCGTACGTGGCTGGGATCAGGTGAGGGGCTGCCACGTGGCAATTAGACCTAAGCCTGCGCACTTAATTTCGATTCGCGGTTTTGTGCTTCCCAACGCTCTCTGTCGAGTCACCGAATGTGTAACTGACATCAATCGAAGGGCAACATAAGTCGCACGTGTCAGTCGGCCTCGCTTGATTTCTCGTCGAAATCTTGCGCCTCTGGCCTGCCGCACCCTCTCCTTTTCTTTTCACCTTCATGAGAAAAAACAAGCTACTTGTGGTTGGTGGCTGGAAGAAAGGTTGTCGCCGTGTGGTCATGTCTTGTCTGTCTTGTCTCAGCCTATGGGGCTCCACACCGTTTCTTTGTTATTCTCTGGAACTAAAGACACGTCATCTTCTCTCCAGCGCGTGCGCTCGCAAGGGCGTGCTACTGCGCGGCGGCCAGGCTTTGGACGCGCTCGCCCGCTGTGACACCGTCGCATTCGACAAGACTGGCACCCTGACTACAGGGGAACTCCGGTGTACGTCCATCCAGCTGCTACACGGGTATGCATCGGAAGAGACCGCGTCAGGCTCGCCGGCACATGGGGAGGCGCTGGCAGTGGCTGCCGCCCTAGAGCAAGTGAGGCGCTTGGTTGATCTAATCGTGAATTTCACGTCTTCGTTTCTGCAATGAGAGATAAAAGTTTGCGAATGTTACTCGTAAAGGTCGACAGCGTTTTAAGTTGACGGTGAAGAGTTGACAGGAGTCGATGAGGGCCTCCGCATTGTATTACGCGTCACTTTTTGGGCTGTGTTTCGAATCGCTTGAAGCGTCTGCTCGCTGACATTACCGTCATCCAGTAATGAGTTTCATTGAAGGAGAGGCGTCTACCGTCAGTATATGGTCACAACCTGTTATTGTTCGTGTTCTTAACCCAGTCATCCTTTTTTGAACCCGCAAACCTGACCCTTGAGTTGCGCCTAACCTACCGTTGACCCTGCAGGCCGCCACCCACCCAATCGCCCGGGCCGTTCTGGAGCACGCCCGGGGCAAGGCTCTTCCCAACGTCACTCTCGAGGACTTCCGAAACATCCCCGGGGAGGGCCTAACTGCCCGGGTTACCACGCTAACCGGGCAGCAGAAGACAGTCAAACTGGGCACCATTGAGTTTGTCTCGGAAGGGCTTGGCGCCGATGCAGCGGAAGGGTTAAGGAGGGCAGTGGAGCGAGAGGCGGAGAAGGGGAAGGAGTCGGTCATGGCGGCCATGTCGGTCGGGTCGAAGGTGGGTTAAGCATGATAAAGAGTTGGTCAGTGGTAGGATGAGCGCGAGTCAAGGGTCGGGTTTGCAGGTTTCCATGGCATGCTTCTGATCACTCTATGTTCGCTAATGAAAAGGAGTATACGGGTTGAGAGCACAAAAGGGGGCCAGGTGTTCATCGGGGCCAAGTGGTCGTCGAATACGAATGTGGAGCAGCGAACACCAAGCATCATCTGAATGAACGTTGCACGCTTTGGTTGAAGGTGATTGACTGTTAAAGAGGGCGTGGCGATACGACAAAATAGCAGCGACAATAAGAGCGGGATTGCTGGTATTTGGTCGCTAAGATGTTACCACGTGGTCCTCAGTTGATGTCATTTCTGGCGACGAAAATACCCGATATGCAGTGCTTTGTGTCGCTCTTGACGTCACTGCGGATGCATCCGCCAACGCCCTCTTTAACTTCTCCAGGTCAAACCCTCGAAAGCGCAGATCAAGTTTCTCACCACGTTCTTCTAACCTGGTTCCTTGGGCCCCCCCGCAGGTCAGCCTGTTTCTGTTTGAGGACAAAGTGCGCCCGGCAGCCGCTGGCGTGATCGCGTTTCTGCGTGGCGTGACGCGGCTGCACACCGTCATGCTGACGGGGGACCACGAGGCGAGCGCCGCAAAGGTCGCGCGGGTCCTGGGGCTGGAAAAGAAGGACGTGTTTGCGGGGCTCAAACCAGAGGACAAGGTGGGGATTGCCTTCCCTGCTTTCTGGCTTGTCTGCTATGCGTTTATTCAGTCTGTTTTTCAATCTTTGCTTGCTTGTTTGGTTCCTTGTCCCGTTGACTGATGATGATGATGATCGTTCTGCTTGTATCTCGTTCGTTCCTCCTTTGAGTTGTTGCGTAGACTCGCGACGTCGGCTTTCTGGATCACCGTTCCGCAGCTTTCAGTCATTAGCCGGCCGATTGCTTGGATCCTCGGCTCAATCTTCTAGCAGGTGCCCCGAGGTTCTATACACCGCTTGCCAATACTGGGTCAGTGCGCTCAGAAGAGTCACAGGAAAGTTGACTTACAATTCGTTGCCATTTGTCAAACAAAAAACAGCAAAGGATTCTCGTCAAGAATGATCACAAGGTCAAGGCGCCTCTAGCAGAACCTGCTTTTTCTAGAGTCATTCAACCCGACCCTCCCTTGCTGAAGCTCCGGCACATGGTATCCCTCTCCGCCTGGGACGGCAGGGGCGGCAGATCCGACCGCCTTTCATTGCTCAATTCAATTTAAAAATACAAACGGAACCAGCTTAGATTTTGACCCGACCCTTCTTGCCGCAGCTCCGGCACGTGGTCGCCCTCTCCGCCCGGGGCGGCAAGTCGGGCGGGCTCATCATGGTCGGCGACGGCATCAACGACGCGCCCGCGCTGGCAGCGGCCACGGTGGGCGTGGTCCTCGCGGAGCGCGCGAGCGCCACCGCGACCGCGGCCGCGGACGTTTTGTTACTACAAGACGACATGGAGGGCGTTTCATTCGCGGTCGCGAAGGCGCGGCAGACGCTCGCGGTCGTGAAGCAGAGCATCTTCTTCGCGTTGCTGTGCATGTCGATCGCGGCGGTCCCGGCGGTATCAGGGATCATCCCGTTGTGGCTGACGGTGATCGTGCACGAGGGGTCGACCGTGCTCGTGTCGTTGAACGCGCTACGGGTGTTGCGGAACCCGAAGTGGCGGATCGAGGGGAACGGGAGTGACTCGGAGGAGAGTGAGGGAGAGGCAGGGGATGGGGTGGCGGTTGGAAAAGGGTACAACGCGGCCGTGGCTTGAGGTGGATTGTTGGATTGGGTGATATGTTTGTGCGTTTTTGAGGGGAGAGGAAGGGAAAATAAGGTCAACAATAATCAGGTTGTTATCGGAGGTGGTTTTTCCATAGTACCTCTATTTCGAAGAAGAAAGCGAGGTCCTTTTGACGAAGCTATTACGCCTCAGATTGACGTTGTAAATGTTTTTCACAGCCGACTGCTTCGAAAGTACGGTTCTTGCGTATTGGTCATGGGCAGGGATAAGACCCATTTCCGAGCATTGTCGTCCATGTGATGTTGGTGACGTGCCAATGCTTCATCATCAATATTGGTGACAACACCGCCATGCACGATGTGCGCGGTTAACAATTGCACTGATTTTACGTCTTGACGATTAGTGGATACGGTATATATACCTAGACGATACGTTGTACCCCACTGACCATGGGCAAGCGGGCCCGTCCTTGGTGAAGCTACTGAGGGAGGTATGTTGTGCCTGCTCAACTTACATTTTGCATCGTCCAATACAATATCGACCGCGTTCAGCAACCAGGTTTAAACTCTAATCCAGATACATGGCCGCGGACGCCACTACTAAGATGAAGTTGAGAAATGACCACACGTTGTCCGTAAGTAATCCACATCATGCTCTATGAAAAACGCCAATAGGTGCAATCACTACAGAGCTGGCAAGTAGCTTTGCATAAATCCCACAAACTAGCTGCTTCGTTGATAATCAGATTATTGAACTCGTCGACGAAGAATTCAGGACGGGTGAATCTCACCTCGATATTTCTTGCCAAAATTGCAGTGGTGCCCCATGATGCATGAGATGAATAAGCGTGGCGCCTGACTCTCCACGAGAAAATGATTTTGTGCGCGTCACTTTTAAGGGCATGGCCTCACAGCGTGCTCACAGCTGTGAACGCACAGTGCACAAATATTGAAGAGGATGACCATACCACACTCGAGCAACGTGACGCTTTTGGACATAGGTACTCACCACCGCCAAAAATCCCACAGCGCTCGAAGTCAGCTTGTCGGAACGTCGCGTTGCTGCCACTGCATATGTAGGACAAGGACAAGGACTACACTATAGTACTGGTGTATACAGATAGAGTGTACCTATACACAGTGTACCGTACCTATTCCGCAGGTTGTGGTCTTGTGGCCTTCATGGCCTCTTCATTGTGCCTACCGGCGCTAGCTGTCCTACATACCTATCCGATCCGGAATCTGACGGATTCGGAACATCGATTGTGGATTCGCAGAAGATGTGGCCAGCTCAGCTGCAGTATCGGTCACCACGTGGCAGTCAAACAGAGAATAAAGGGTGGCGTCACTAGGGTGCCAGCTGGCACTGCAAGCTGGCACGGCATTGCGAATTGCAATGCGCAAGAAGGCGCCCCTCTTTGCCTCTCCCTTCTAGGATAGGAGTCGGACTACCGTTCTTGTAATTACAAGCTTTCCTTCCTTCCTCCAACCTTTCAGCTTCAAGGTGCCCCACAAAGACCTTCGCACGACCCTTCCCATCTCATAGCGTTCAGTTTGAATACCTACAGTGGCATTTTACCAATTGATAGATCAACGCGATCACATTCCAGTAGAATCAGTCAGGAGAAAATCGCTCTTATTCTCCCAGAAGATCATCAATACTTTGCTGCAACCTCCTTCTGCAAACAGCTCCTACCATTCCGCTCCTGAGCAATGACTGTGCAAGAAGTGGCGCAGGCAGAACGGCACCAAGGGCCCATTGCTCCTGCTGCAGAGATGGAGCAGATGCACTTGAGAGAAGCTCAGGGAGGCGCGGCTCCTCAGAGGCAGCAGACAGCACACACTGCTTCAGAAAATGTTCATCCAAAAGCAGGAGTTGCATCAGCTGTTGTTCCACAGACCGAAAGCCAAGCAGGGTCAAGCGTTCTGACTGGCGGCGCTGAGAGGAAGCTGGCGGAGCACAACGACTATGAGGAAGGCTTGCTCAGGGCTGCTCATGAAAAGAAGCGCGCGCACGAGGCGGAGGCGTTTTTGGCTGCTGAGACGAAGAAGGCGCAGGCTCTCGCGGCCAGGAAGGCGGCTGATGCAGATGCAGAGGTGAAGCTGGCGGCGGCGAAAGCGGCGGAGAAACTCGCCAAGACACAGGTAAAATCCTCGAATGTAAACAAAAGTTTTGCCCCATTGTGCAGGGCAGTCTTCTGCAGAATGGAACTTTCAAGAAGTATCACAGACTCTAGGCGGTTTCTATGTCAGGGCAATTTGATGATGCAAGTTGATTTGTAAAGGGTTGAAGCGCATCACTTTCATGTGACTTCAGCTGGCAGCCTCAGAAAATGTTGTTGCAGGAAACAATGTTTTCATGACTGCGTGTCAAATCTGGAATTGGTAAATCTGTGGATCTTCAACTCCATGGAAGTCAACAAACGAGTTTGACTGCATTAACTTCGCGTCGTTTCATCCATTGAGCACTATTCTGGGATGGTCTCAGTACCACTACAGTGCATTGTACTGTATGCTACCGTTCTTGTTCGATAGCTGACCAGATTGAAGAGACCTACTCAGACAGCACGCTTAGTTCTATGTCAACGCTGATGGATCTCAACAAGTGTGGAAGAGTTAAGGCTTTCTTGCATTTCTTTGAGCTGCTATACTTGTACACACTGCTTCACATAAGCATTCAGCTGTCTGAGGAAAAGATATTGTCATCATGTGCGGGGACTCCGGCTTTAGCATCAGCAACAGGGCGCGCGAGCGCTCCACGTGGAACATTTCTGTAGGAATGCCAAGGTGTGTTCACAGTGATACCTGTCCTTGACAACTCTTGACTATCAAGAAGTCCATGATCTGCACGTATCGGAGTCCTACGCAGATACTGCTTAAAAGCTGGTCTCATATCGTCCAATTTCCTCTGCAGTACAAACTGGAATTGAAGGTTGACAAGGCCCATGAAAAGTTCGAGAAGAAGGCGGCAATTGCAGTGGAACAAGCAGAGTTCAAAAAGGCAGCAGCGCAGGAACACGCAGAAGAGGAGATTGTCGCAGCGATGGAGAAGGCAGAGCACGTCCGGGCAGGCGAGGAGGTGTTGAAACCGTCGCTTGCACAGAAGATAGGATTGAAGAAGAAGGACTTTTGAGGAGTGACTGGAAGCTAAGCTCGCAAGTAGACAGGTAAAGGTGACTGCGATTGAACTTCTTACTATAGAGTCCATATTATACAGGTTTAGATAAGTTACTGAAGGAGTTTGCAAAAAAGCATGTTGGGGGTGTCTTTGATCAGAATCATGACAATTGTCGAGCATTGCTCCTTATTTACGACAGTCTTGTTGAATTTAATCTAACTGGATATTATGTGCATTGCAAGGTTGCACCACTCAGATCATTCATTATTGTCTCTACATGCTCCCATGATGTAGTGACAGCCAATTCGCACCACTGCATTTATCAAGGGCTCTTGGGCAACTTGGAATTAGAAGGCTTCATGGGGACTTTGACATGGCGGGAAGCTTCCCGCCAAGTTTACTACAACGCTAGATAAGTGTACGTGCACGGCTCCGTTCAGTGCGCAGTCACCTGTTGAGTTAGTACGTTGTCGACTCTCGATTGAAGTCGTCGTACTCGAGATTGTAACGCTTACATGTTTGGCCTGAGGCTGCGGTCACCCTCCATTTGTCAGCTAGGAAATCCTTAACTTCAAATGGGCGGCCGCCCGCGCCGCACCATGAGCATTTACCACTGGCATATACGTACGTGCTAGCATCAAAGCTACACATTCTGGCAAGAGGAAGTGCATGTGACCGTCACAGTGACCGATCCTTCTCAAGGCATTCATCACCTCATCCAATTATAGTGCATGATGCAAACATCTCAGACCATGATCAATCTACAACATGATCAAACAAACTGAAGGGATTTCTGATCCATAAACGAGTGGATTGCAGAACTTCTGAATCTTGATGAACTTGTACAGTAAGATACGTTAACTCAAGAGGTCGAGTGCACACGTCAGCTTTGTTTACAGCGGCTCCTAGGATATTATCATTATTGGGAGCCTCTGTCTTAGCCTTACTCCTGAGGAGCACTTGAAGTTTCTGCAAACTCGAACAAAAGCGGCTGCAACTTTTGATTGGCAGGGGGGTTTGTTGCACGCTGCTGAGGAGACCACTACCTGACAGGCGAACGGGCTGTGCCTAGGATCCTACAACCGGATAACCTGAGCTCTGAGTCTGTCCTGACTAGCAACCGTATGCGCTCTGTGTTAACAAACGATGCTCACCGACATACATACAATGCTGTACCGCAGCCAGTACCTGAAGCGTGGGCTCACATTCTGCAAACACCGCACTCAACATCCGGAACTGATCTCGATTCCTTTCCTATAAGCGCTACCTACTGCTACTCCGCGCTGTGGGACTCGGCAACTTCTTTACCGACCATTTGCTCAGCATCTGAAAGAGTTGAATCTTTTGGATTGGCTTCACAACCTGGCAGAGAGATGCGAAAACGCACGTCATCAGCTCAGGCTGAACAGGGGCAGGAGCAAACGAAAAGGCAACAAAAGGAAGTGCAAGAAGAGAAGGAGAAAAGAAAGAGAAGAGAAGGAACGAGAGCGCCATTCTTGTCTCCTAAACTTTCTGGATATGACCTAAAGACAACGGAAGGCAACATAATATTCACACAAAGACGATCAGAAGATCGAAAGAGGCAAACAATGATGGGGGGGGGGGAGACTAGAAAGTGCGAGAAAACAGGACAGGAAAAGCGAACATACAAAAATGAGGAAATGCAAAAGGAGGGTAAAAGAAGGCAGTGAGAAAACAGAAGGGGATACCGGAAACGAAAAAATACGGCCTGCTTACGTAGTCATCCATTCCAGCGTCCATGCAGCGCTCGCGGTCCCCGGCCATGGCGAGGGCGGTGAGCGCAATGATGGGCGTGTGGCGCCCCGTGCCGGCCTCGCGCTCGCGGATCTGGCGCGCGCACGTGAAGCCGTCCATGACCGACATCTGGCAGTCCATGAACACCAGGTCGTACGTTTTCGTCTCCATCAGTTCCAGCGCCTCCTGCAAGGGAAGCAGATCGGAAACAATCAGCAGAGTAACGGAAAGAATTGGAAAGTTTGAGGGACAAGTTGAAGAGACGGATCGGACGGACAAAGACTGCCGCCCTGAGATGGAATATTCGACAAACATCTGCTTGATGATGACTTGAACAGATTGCCATGGAGCGCTGTGAAAAGGATGCGGCAGAGCTTCGCAGCTAGGACACCATAAGCGAAGGGTGTGGAAGTCACTTGCTCGCTGGCTGTGCTTCAGAAACGTGAAATGCCAAACCTGAGTAAATATGAAGTCTTGGACGCCCTCTGCAGCACTCTCAACAATCAAGAGTCTAGGCTCGTGCCAACGTTCGAATACCACGGAACCTCCCCTAGAACGTAGTGATATCCGCATCCAACTGCAGTGTTACAAACCAACAGTAGCAAAACGTAACATTACTCATATCAGTAGCAAACAAGGCTTCATCTGATTGCTCCAAGGACAGACCTGTCCGTGCTCCGCGGCGTCGCACTCGTGGCCCTCCATGGAGATCATCTGCTTGATGATGCGCCGGATCATGGACGTGTCCTCCACCACCAGCACCCGCAGGCTCGTGTCCGGAACGTCCGACCCGGACCGCACCCGCTTTGGGTGTGAACCGGACCCCTGCAAAAGTATGCGACAGCTGTCAGTTATTGGAGCAAGCTGGCAGAGATACGACAGCTGAAAGTCCAGCTTCTTTCCGTGTTTTGATTAGGCATTGACGGTGCAACGATGCAGATTCATCTCAAGAGTGCGAAGGGCAAAGGTAGAGAGGCAGGCCAATCCGTTACGCGGCCTCTGTCCGAGCGCGACTGCACCTCCCCAGCAGTGGACGCCTTGATCTGCATCTTTGCAGCGCTGTCTCGCTACAATGCATTCCTTCACCGTTCTTCAGAGGATTGGCGAGGCGTTCCAAAGTATCCAGCCAGACAACCCCTCGTGTATCAAAAGTTAGCCAAATCTATCGCCTGCGACAGGGTTCATAAAACGACGGTCCGTTTGTCGTGGACCCACCTGATTCGAGAGGCCTTCCAGGCTCCCGTGGGAGGACACGGAGGCGAGGCCCGGTTGATGAAAGTCGGGGCTGCCGGGCCGCAGCAGGTGCTCCACCTCCTCGTCCCGGTTGATGGTCGGGTGGATCACCTCCTCGATGCAGTCGTACAGGTGGCAGTGCTGCAAGGGAAGCGCGAAGAGGGGTTGAGTATTGAGGGCAAGATGGTTACGATCCTGGGGAACGAAGTTGAACCTACCCAGGAGTGACGAGGATTTGTTCTGCGACCTTGGAAGACCTACCCGCTCTTCTCGCACGACATCGTAGTGCCATCGTGCTTTCAACCGACGACTTGCGGAGCCGTTTGCTGAATAGTCTCTTTGAATCGAAAACGCCTTGCATTTCACGAGGTTCGCTTGTTGGTCTGCAGCTTGTTTGAGACTCAGCAAACATTCGCAGGCATGGCCCCAACCCATAAAAACCGAAACTCCAAACCCAAACATGGAATCGCGGTTTCCAGATTCTCACCTGGAGGGGCTTGGTGGCGACAGCCGCAAACTTGGACATGTCCAAACTCGCTTCGATCTCCACGGGCGACAGCAGCACGACCCCCGCCTTCTTCCCAATCACCTTATCCACGAACGCCATCCCCCCCGGTTTCAGCACCACCTTGCAATCAATCACCACCGCCTGGAACGGCCAGGCCCCCCCCGCCGCCTCTGCGTTCCGCGCCAGCTGGCGCGCCTCCGCGACCGTCCCGCACCCGGTGCACGTGTGGCCCCACCCCTCGAGGTAACTTACCAAAATCCGCCGGATGCTCGCGCGGGGCTCCACGACCAGGACTTTCAAATTTACGCTGGCCTTGAGCCGGAGCTTGGAACTAGGCGCGGGCTCGAGGCGCACCGTGAACCAGCACTCGGAGCCCTTCCCGAGGCCCTCGCTGTTCAGTCCGCACGTGCCGCCCATCAGCTCCGACAGCTGTTTGATGATGCTCAGCCCCAGCCCCGTGCCCTGCTGCCGCTGCTTCCGGTCCGACTGCTCAACCTGCTCGAAGCGCGAGAAGAGGCGCTGCAGGTCGGACGGCTTGATGCCGCGCCCGGTGTCCTTGCACGAGACCTTGAGGATCGTGCCGCGGCCGTCGGGGTCCGGCGTCGTGGTCGCGGTCACGATGATCTCGCCGCCGCTGTCCGTGAACTTGATCGCGTTGGACAGGACCTGCGGCGGAGAGTGAAAGGGACCGTAAGGCTGGTGCAAGAGGAGCGGTTTGGACATAGACGAGGTCCTGAAGTAACGCCAATTGTAGTTGTTCCCATCTGAGTGCTCGACCGGTGACCTTGTCGGGTCCCCGGTTTGAGCATAAGTTAGCGGCAGACGGACCAAAACGTACAAAAGTGGTGACATTCGAGACTCAGAGCCTATTATATTGGATCAGGAGGACCCCGAATGAAGACCTCGAAAAGAAATCTATGCTAAGTCAGCAGCGCAGCACAGGGAGCACGGGAGGGGTTTCAGGCTTCGGACTTCATGACGAGACAGTCCAAATAAGCAAAGCGAAAGGCGGCAGAGCCTCAGGAAAGACAAACCCGTGCTCAATCCAATAAGGGCGACACGTTTCACCACTTACGTTGAGCATGAGCTGGCGCAGGCGTAGCGCGTCGGAGCAGAAGATGACGTTGTCCATGTCGACGTGCATGGCGAGCTCGACGCCCTTATTGTAAGCCGCCACGCTGGTGGCCATCATGGCGTCCTCCAGGTGGCTCCGCACGTTGATGGGCGCGTTGCGGATCGGGATGTCGCCGTCCTCCAGCTGCGAAAAGTGCAGGATTCCCATATTTGCGAAAGGAAGCAAAAGTGAATCGGGCTTGTAAAGAGCTTTGATAACTTCGTACCTCATTGTGGATGGGGGAAGCCGCCGTATCTAAGGGGGAAAAATGGGAAACTCTCAATTACCAAAATTACCTTTCTTCATTTGTATTTCCACGGGCTCAGGAACCGGGTGTACCTTTCTTTAGATGCAGAAGAGACCCCCGACGACTGGTAGCACACGGTTTCGCTAGATGTTCGATGAGCCTGCTCTTGCTGATCTTTTGTGGACCGGAGGTAGGAACTACCGATACACGTCCTCTGACCGCAGGAAGGCTGACAGAAGAGCCATGGCTTTAACGTTCTTGCGGTGTGGCCCCCACCTTGGAGAGGCAGAGCAGGTCGTCGATGATGCCCATGAGCTGCTTGGTGGACTGCTGGATGGTGCGCACCAGCTCGCACTGCATGCGCGTCATGCGGGCGCTCGTCTCCTGCAGCAGCTCCGCCATCCCGATTACGCTCGACAGGGGGGTCCGGATCTCCTGCAGAAAGAGGGGCGGGGGAGAAGGTGAGAGGCAAGGAAGGGGCATGGGGGGTGAGGAAGAACACCGTCGGAAGCACTTTTTGGAGAATCTCTCAGGGGCTGAGATTCCAAGAATCTGGGACGGAAGCAGCTCATCTGGCAGCAGAAGCGCAAACCTAAACAGACAGGTTCCGAACGAAACATCATCAAGAACGCCGAACAGACTAGCCATCAGAATAGTAGCATCATTTAGACGAAATGCGAGCACGGAGCACAGGTCCCGTGGTTACAAGAATGGAGACTTACGTGGCTGATGATGCTGATGAGGTTGCTGGTGGCCTTGCTGGCGGCCTCGGCCCGGATCGCTTTCGCTGCCGCGTCATGCGCCTCGCGCACCGCGTGGGTCAGCTTCGCCTCGTCAGCGGACCGCGTCTCGCTGCAAGACACAGATTGGCAATTGTCAAAGTAGCCAATCATTTGCGACTGCTTAGCAATCTCCACGACGTGATCTCTGAGGGGCTCAGGAGGCGTCGAAACGTCTGCTATCGCTCAAGAACCAAGTTGGCAAAAGTTTCAAACCAGCAGATGAGAGTCGTTACATGTGGCCGGCTCAAAGGTGCTAACGTATAGCGAGAGGAAACCTACCTGCAATACGTCGTCCAAATGCACGTGACAGCCGCGAGCCACAGAAAGCTGCTGAACATCACAAGCCTCAGATCCCGTTGCCGCATGATCTGCCCCGCCGTCGTGACTGGCAAACCGAAGTCTTGGTGAGCGACCCCGGAGTAAAGGCCCGAGACTGCCGGGTCGCCGAGAAAGTACTCAATGAACCACGCGACCTGAGTCCAGACCGCTACTCCGAGGGACGCGTACGCGCTGAGCGGGAATTGGCAGACGGCGTTCACGGCGAGGATCCCGAGGTAAGCGTTGAGCGCGGAGTCGATCGCGATGTCCATCTTGTCCGTGTCCAGAACCTCCAGCAGAAACATGAAGAGGTTCTGCACGAGCGTCGTGATGGCAAACGAAAGGTCGACGTTGGCGCGCATCGCGCGCACCCAGGGGACGCGGTCCGGGGGAAGGAGCGTCAGCATCGCCGCCGCGAATGACGTCAGGCTGCACGCGACGCGCTGCGCGAAGACGAGCGGCGGCTCTAATTCGTTGCGCCACGGCCAGCCGGACCAGAGAGGGGCGACTAGGAGAACGATGGACGACGCGAGCGTGGACTGGCGCATGAATTTGAGCGAGCTGCCGATGCGCCAGTCGGAGCGGTACTCGAGGAGGGGCGACTTGACGAGGCCCGGGAGGTTCTCGTCGCTGATCTCGGGGGAGGATGCTGACGTGTCGCGCGTGAGCCCGCTCGCGGTGCGCCAGCGCGAGTGCACGCCTTCCTCGGTGGAATCCTGTGGGAGCGGGAATATGCGCGGAGTGAGAAAGAGAGGCGGAAACGAGCGGGTTGAAAATGTGAAAGAGGAACGAACAAACCCACGATGAGAAGACTCGTTTTAGAGAGGGCGGAATGGGGGGCTGAATGCGGTGTTCAGGAACGTGTAATTACACGCAGTACTCAAAATAACAGAACAACTTCTGTTGAGATTCAAAGAAAACCTTGACCCACACAGCACTCTTCAGAATCTGCACATCTAGAAGCGCGCTCTCTCCCACCTTATTGAAGCTCGGCGAGAAGTTCATGTCCGGCCCGTGCCCCGTCCACACCACCGAATCCGACCAGCCCTTTCTCGGGAACCGCGACGGGCTCTTCTCGATCGCGCCCTCCTCTTCCCCCTCCGCAACGTCCATAAGCGCCCCTTTCACATCCAGGGGGGGCAGCGCTTTCGCCACTATCTGGCTGTCCGTCTGCGCCCGCGCGAGCCGCGTCGAGTAGCCTAGCCCCCGGGGGCTTGTGCGAGAGGGATCCCCCAAAAGCATCTTGCGAGAGCTGCTCGGAGAGATGGAGGGCCGGAGAGCCTGACTGAGGCCAACGTCCACGGCGATTGGGCTGGGGGACGGTTCCTCCGCGTTCGGGTTCCAACGCTTGAGCACCTTGGTGTCCTGGAGGAAGCGGTTTGCACTTTTCGTAAGGATGGACAAAAGAATGAAGGAGCGCTAGCCGGATCAGCAAGTTAACAGTCGACAGAAGAACCATTGGGGGCAGACCACATTGCAAGAGGGATTCAGGAAGCGGGTAAGAGTACTGTTCATTTTCAAAGTGAGGCTGTCGACACAAGATCTGCTCAAGAGTCAAACGGCATTGATGTAGAACCGCAATTTCAAAGAACGTAAGAACGAGAAACATCGTCCCTACAGCCCGCCTGGAGCTGGCCCTCAAATCAGCAAGCTCAGCCCACGCACCCACTACAATGAACTTATGCCTTTGAAATACTTGACGCTTTGTCTCGCAAATACGCGCATTTGTCACACGGCAAGCGCACACCTCAGATGACAACTTCTCAAACAGGGCCTTCAACTCTTCCTCCCTTATCACACTCACCCCCGGCGGCGTAATTGGCGGCGTCCGCATGAACCCTTGCAGCCCGCTCGGGGACCCCACCCCGGGCGTCCACTTGCGCACCATCTTCAGCAGCGCGTCCTTGAGCACCGGCCGCGTCAACAGGTCGTCCATGTTCTTCGCCTCGATGTCGATGCTGTCGTGCGCCGTGAGCGCCACGATCGGCGTGCGCGGCCGACCCTGGAGCGCCTCGGCGGCGCGGATGTGACGTGTCGCCGTGTATCCGTCCATGACCTCCATCTCGATGTCCATGAGCACGAGGTGGTAGTTGTGCGCCTCCCACTTGTCGAGCGCCTCGGCGCCGTTGCTCGCGACCTCCACGTGGTACCCGCCGCCCTCCAGGATGCGCCGCCCCAGCATTTGCGTCACCATCGTGTCGTCCTGGTAGCAAAGAAACGGAACACATGATGTCACGGAAGGGGTCGTTTCAAGATATGCGGCGCTCTTTCCCACAGAATCAAGTCTGGTCGTAGACAAAGAATGACAAGACTGTAGCATTTGATGCAGGCAGAGCAGCGGGTGCAAAGCGTGCTTTGGTCACCAACAACGGCACACCCTTCTCAATATCATGTCGGACTGCAGCCTCGAGTACTGAGTGATTCAACTTCCTCCATCAGCACCACCATCTACCCGTCCTTCAAAAGTGCTCCGATACAGGCAGCTGATCAAGAAGGGCGCAAATCGGGTAAATATCCTCGTGCGGGCAGGCGTGTATTCGCGAGCCGAAGAGACCGCTGGACATTCCAAAAGCCGACTACAAACCCGCTCACTCACCACCAACAATATGTGCACGCTCTTGGGGCCCCCCTCCGCCGCTTCTCTGTCCCCTGACCCTTGGCCCATGATCCCATACCGTTCTCCCGCCGCAGTGAAGTGCGCGGGGGCTCCCCCTTCCGTGCCCTCTTTCCGTGCCACCTCCCCCGCGACTTTCTTTATGCACGCCACCAACGTTTGCCGCCGGAGGGGCTTCTCCAATGTGGCATCGAACACGGGCAACTCTCGCTCCCCCACTTGCCGCTCCACCAGAAACCCGCTCAGGTTGCTGCTAAGACTTCCACTAGACCCCACGCTCCCGCTCCCGCTCGATGCACTGGTCGACGCGCCCTGCGAGCTATTATACCCGCTTCCCCCCAACGGCGGGGTCAAACTGCCTCCCCCACCTTTCGCACTCGTCGAACCTGCCTGTAGAGTCCCGGATCCTGGTTGGGCGCCACTCGTCTCGGGGATCTGCGCCGCGTTAGCCATGCTTGACCCAGCTTCTGGACTGCCCGCTGCTCGCTCGGCTGCTGGGTGGAGGGGAGACGACTCGATGGAGGAGGCGAGAAACGAGCCGTCTAGCGAGCTCGACCGGCTGTGGGGGGTGCTCAACGGCAGCCGGGGCCCCGGTTCCAGGCTGCTCGTCCGGCTGTGCGGTGCGCTCAACGCCCCCCGGTTCGCCCACTCCCCTCCCCGGTTGAGGAACTCGTCGACATTCACCTGGTCTGCAAGCGCGTCCAGCGCACGGCTCTCGAGCGACCCGGTCGCGCCCCCAGCCCCTTCCTGCTCCGCCGCCGCGTTCCGCCACAGCGTTCTTAGCTGTTCCTGCAGCTCCTGGGACGCGCTCTTCCGTTTTGTCAGCTTCCCTGGCCCCCGGGGGGGGCGCGTGGGGCTCGCCAGCAGTTCGGCGGCGTTGACGCTGCCGCCCCCGTCGCTGCCCCCCGAGTTCATGCTCCCCGCTCCCGACCCACCCCGCTCAAGGCTGGGGGCTCCGCTGAGCCCCAGCCCGTTGGCCAGATCCCCCGCCTTACACATGAGCACCCAGCGGATGTCAAGCTCCGCAGCCTCCTGCAAAAGCGCGTGAAAGCGTTGGTGATCTATGTTTGTAGAAAAGCTGCTCGATCGAAAGCTTGACAAACAGTAAGAACGCTTGTTGATTCTGGCTCTTGTTTTAGAAGGTGAGGGCTTCGGCCGTGCCTGCTGCCCTTTGGCCGTGCCTGCTCCCGATATTGCTTCAACAGAAAGGTGGCTAAAAGGCGCCCAACTCAAAAGGCTCAAAAACTCAACCAACTTTAGCTTAAGGTGCTCATATCAAGCTTTATCGAGCGCAGAGCATCTACGACCGTCAACGCTGCACTACAAAACCACGACCCCAACACTGGCCGCAGTCGAAATCCCAGGCCCCGGCAACGAACAAAACAAGTGCACTTCAACGAACATGAGGACAGGAAAGACCCCCCCCCACCTGCGGCAGTTCCTTGGGCTTCTCCAGCGCGCTGCTGACGAGCGCCACTACCACCACCCGCGCGTCGTTACTGCGCCCCGGGTCCGCCCGCATCTGGGCCGCCTGCCTGGCCGCCCCTGTTAGCGCCTTCCTCAGGCTCGAGCCCGTGACCACGTGGATCGTCTCGCTGGCCAGATACTGCGACACCGTCTGCCGAACCTTCAATGACGGATCTGCACAGACCACGATCGTGTCCACGAGGCCGTTCGCCTTCTTCGCTCCCACTTCAAACACTGCAAGAGCTGGGTCCGTTTTTGCTTCCTCTCCACGCAAAGGGCTCCTATGAGGCGCTGCCTCAGGGGGCAGGTTCTCTTTGGGGGGGAGTTCCCCGGCTTGCTTGGCCACCCCCTGGTCCAGATCCGGAGCTGAACACGCCCCCCGTTTCGGCAGGTTGACGTTGACTTGAGCAAGCCGTCCTTCTTTCGAAGAGTATTTTTCGCTCTGTGACGAATCCAACCCATGGACAACGTTGTTGGCAACCACTGCTTGCCAAGCCTCGACCCGCGTCGACGGCGACTCGGCCCCCTCCTTTTGCAATTGCCGTATACTACCTCCCAATCCGCCATCCAAACCCTCCTGCAACCCCGGCCGCTCTGTCGCCTCCCCCCCCGCAACCGCTCATCCAGAGTCCCACTTTGCCCCCCCCCCTCCCGCAACAGTTGTCTCTCCCCCCTCCCCCTCGCTGCCTGACCCCCCCAGGAAGAACCCCTCACGCTGCTGCTCGAACGACGCCCGTTGGGTGCTGTTCTTGCGCCCCATGCGCATGGGCGAGCTGGAGGTGTAGAGGTCTTCTTCGCGCGCCTTCGGCAGCGTGATCTCGAACCAGAACGTCGACCCTGTGCCTGTGCTGGCCGTTGGCTCCTGGCTGCTCTGCACGCCCAGCTCGCCGTCCATCACCGCTACGTACGCCTTCACCAGTGCCAGCCCCAACCCAATGCCAGAGAACTGCAAAACACCACAATGTTTCTGCCTTGTTGAGTTGCCAGCCTTGGTTGCTGAGAGGGCCATCAAAACCCTTTGTCAATGCAATTAGGGAGTGAGTCCGAAGCTTTGTCACCGCCACTTGATAACAGAGAGAACTAAGGAGACTGAATCTTCAACCCATTCAACAATCCACTCTTGCTCATCTTCCCCTCCTCTGCTGGATTTTTTCTACCCTCCTCCCTGCCATGACAGAGTCACGGTTATGCATTAGCGCTCCCGCAAGAGAGCAGACCCAACTACCAGTTCGACCCACCTTGGTCTTCCCTTGGTACTCCCCTTGCAGAAAGTCCGAGAAGATCACGTCCAGAGTGGTTGGGGCGATGCCAACGCCCGTGTCGCGCACGCTGATGTGGATGGTGGCCGCCTGCTCAGTCTCGTGCGTGACGGCGCCGACCACCGCCACCTCACCGGGGGCCTCCGTGTACTTGAACGCATTGTCCAGCACTGCATGAAGCAGGATAAGTTAGAATAGATGACATGGATAGCTCTTTACTTCTTGATCAGAATTACGCTGCCTTACAGGCTTCTGCAGCGCCTTATACCAGTGAAAACACGAGTGAATGCCTTGCCTGCTCAAAGCCTGGGCAATTACGTCTGAAAACATTGCTAATCCACCTCCCCGGAGCCTCCTCTCGCCGGATGTATTGTGCCGCCGGTTGGATTGTGCACTCTCAAATAAAGTGTGCATGCACAGCTGCTGACTGGCCTTGCCAGTGACTAAAGCAAGGACTGCCTTTAGTTATGATGGCTGATCCTCACACGCAATTTCTTAGCCACAGACCATCCTTCCACAGGACAACACATAAGAACAAAGACAAGCTGACTCACAGTTGTTGAGCACCACCTCGAGGCAGTGCGAGTCGACGAGCAGGGGCTCCTTGGGCAGGTCCACATACATGAGCACTTCCAGGCCCTTACGGAACCCGTTGATTGCATGCCTCTGCACCACCTCTTCAATAATGTCCCCCACGATCACCGGCTGCAGCAATGATGAGAAACGAGCAATGTCAGCCTTGCTTCACAGACAATGATTGGGATCAAGCTTGAACAATGCCTCAATGTGAGTGGAAAGCTGAACAGCTCCGGCGACTTGGCTGCGCCCAGAACCAAGGGTGCTGACAGATTGCAGAAACAACAAGATTGGCGCAATACCCTGGACGATTGCTGGAAGTCTGGGGAGGCAATATGTTCCGCATCTCTTCTGTTTCTGCATGCACAAGCTGATTCTCAAGTTTCAAGCCTGCCTCGACACACCATTTTTGAACCTGTTGTGGCAACTTTGTCGCACAAACCCATCTCAAAGCCCCCGCCTAGGCTAGACAGACCTTGCAAAAGTGCTTCCTGCGAGGGAAGCCCTTAACCTCCACCCCATCTCAACGCCTACCTTGGGGTTGAGCCTGAAGTAGCCCCCCTCGAGCTTGGCGTACTCGAGGATGTCATTGATGAGCCGCAGCAGCTGCATGGACTGCTGCTGGATACCGCGCACATACTCCTCCTGCTCCGCGTCCATCGCATTCCCGGGGCCCGCCAACAGCTCTGCACTGCTGATGATGCCCACGATCGGGTGCCGGATTTCATGCGTGATGTTGCTGCAGGGTGCACCATAATAAGTTAAAACAGCGGACGAGCATTTGGAATGTTCGAGGCCGCCGTTGTTTGTCAAAGCTAAGAGAGGTTACAACTTGGTTCAGTGACCTCTTGCGAGACCAGAGCCTTGGAGCACAGCTGTGCGAGTCTCTCACCAGTTAAGCATATTTTATACAACCACTTCATAGCTTCTAGCCTTCTTCAGAGCTGCAACTGCGGGACTATACCCCTCATACTATGCTTTCCTCCTGGCATCTGATGCGCAGGAAAGAAGCGATGAAGATTGCTCTGTTCTCAAACGTGGAAGTATTCTGCAAGCCCTGCTGTGAGATCCCCAGATCATCCATACCCCGCAGTGAAGGAGTATACCTGCTGATTAGTCCTGCCGACAAACTTCCGCCAGAGTTCTCAGTGTGCCATAAGCAATACTTTTAAGGACCCAACAGCAACCATGAAAGACCCCACAGAACCTTCTCGGCACTCCACGACCAGGTGCAGCAAATTTCCCTGTCTGCCATTGACTCACCTCAGGAAGGACGACTTGGCATCCTTGGTGCCCTCAGCGTGCTTAGCGCGCTCCATCGCCTGCTTCCCCATCTTGAACTGCCAGCGCACGCAGAACTGGATGCGCAGGTAGCTCTCCATTGTATACGTGAACGCCGCCAGGTACATGATTATGTAGCTAAAGTACGTGATGTAGTTCACCGGCTGCAGCACGCGCAGAGGCGTCCGCAGGCTGGGCGCGAGCGCGTGCTTGTTCGGGATGGTCGGGCCGATCATCGCAAATAGGAGGATCATGATGACCCCCGTGGCAACATTGTAGACAAAGCGGGGGCGCGAGATGGCCGTGCTCGTGAGGAGCGAGAGGACGAGCGTGAGAAGGCCCGCCTCAAAGTCGACGAAGCAGCCGAGGAGGGAGAGGGGCACGCCAGCGCAGACGTGGCCAAGGCTCATCATCATTGGAAAGAGCTGCAAAAGGTGCACGGTTTGGGTTAACCTTGTGGGTTTGGTACATGTTCGCGAGTGGAGCAGATCGGTTTTCGAGTAGCACTTGACAAGCCAAAAAAGGACAACAAAACTGCGTGCTTTAGCCTAGTGCATAAGAATTGCCGGGAATGCAGCATGACTACGAAGTCGCTTCACAGGTCCTGCGAACAGTGTCGAAGAGATCAAGTGCAGGCCAGGAAATCTCTGATGGGGCTGTGCCTTATGGTGTCGGAGCGAGAAGAAGGCCCCAAGCTTCAGCGATGCAAGTGTCTGGCGCTTCGAAGATTGTTCTCACCTTGCTGCGCCTCTTGAGGACGGGCGCAAACGAGGCGAGTGCGAACAGGCACGCCACGAATGCAACCGCGGTGTGCGCAACCCAGAGGCGCATCAGGAGGTCGTCATCAGTTATGTGAGAGAGAGCGGAGCACTCTGCAAGCAAACGGGCACTGTGTCTTGAGAAACTGCTCTAGCAGCCGGCTCTGTGTAACATCGAAGCACAACCATTCCTTGAAAACCCCATATTTCTAGAGTTGGCGACGAATCCTATCGGACCTGGGTGCACCAAACTGCCCTTGCATTCCGCTCATCTGCAGAGATCAAGCGCACCACAAGACGGGGGCTCTCCATGTTGAGGTAACTAGCAAGGAGGAAAACTTAGAAGCAAAACAAGCTAGTGCACAATGTCGAACTGCAAAGAAGGAAAAGGGTGATCGACAGCCATCGATGTACAAGATCGACTTGCTTGCCTGGATCAAGTCTCTGCGAAACCCAGGGAAACCCAAAGACTTCCAGAGAGTATTCGCCACAGAGTTGCGGAGAAGCAAAAAACTGCATCAGACTCACCTACGTAGCCGATGATGATGCTTGCAAAAGCCGCAACCAGCATGCTGTAACGGAAATTGCGCAGATCCCATCCAAAGTTGTCGTAGTTGAACGCCTTTTCCAAATCGTCCTACAAGATACAGGGCAGAAAACCATATTCAATGCTGCCAGAGGCACTCAGCCTGGTGTGGGGACACTTCACAACAAGGGAGCATATGGAACGTCACATGGACTGTCGTACACCGGGGACCCGTGTGCAGGGGAACAACTGGGCGAGACCGCCTCAAAATTGGCCTTTACACTCCTACATCGAAACTGCCGCTTTAGCTCCATTGCGACAACCCCATGCTCCAACAAAACTGCCTACAATTGTCCACCAGAGAATAGCAGTCACCTGGATGAACGTCAGTGTGTGCCACCGGAAGAGTGGCGTCTCCTTCTGCTGCGTTGTTTTGGGCCCCTCCTTCAAAGCCTTTGCTTCCGTACTCGGGGTCGCAGTTTCCTCCGTCAGACCCTGGCCTTTGAGCACCACATATTCGGCAAGATACTCGGCACTCTCGTGCATCCACTTGAGCTTGCTGCGATTTGCACCAGAGCTGGGGTCCTTGAGTAGCCCTGGTAGTCATCACGAGCTTGCATCAGTCCAAATTACATCAGGTGGGCCCATCACAGATGATCAACTATTTAGGACTGGCCAGCTATTTGACCTGTGCTTTTGCTTTAAGAACATTACATCAAGATTGAACAGCCATCGCTTTGCCTGCAGATACCCCGTGAAGATCAGGAACTCGGTAATCAGGCGTCGACACATATTTTGGGCCATCATTCTATTGCACACTCAGGCATGAAACAAGACCCAACAAAGCGGAATTTCCAGTGCCGCTTGGTCCAGTACGGCATGATTTGTGAGCAAGACATCTAACAAATATGTTCGAAATCAGGAACCTCATATAACTACAGGCCATCGAAGCACACTCATCCATAAAACTGCCATCAAAGCTGCAGCTTCTCAAGCAATGAGGGACAGGGCAGTACCAGCAGAGGTGGAGGACGGGGAGCCTGCCAAGCTTCCTCCACTGCTTGCATTGGAGATTCCTGAGTTCGTTCTGTCCTGCTGCGACAAGCGGCCTCCCAGGCTTTCCGGCAGAGTGGATATGACACCCCCACTGGAACTGCGAACAAGCCTCGCTCTGCGGACTGCACCAGAGTGCGCAACCCCCGAGAACGTTCGGAGGACAGGTTGCAAGGGCAATGGCTCGCTCAGCCAGGAATTATTGCCCGGATCAAACCTCCTATTAATGACAGCATTTGAGGACTCTTGTGGTGCTTCAGGTGCCTCGGGCTCCTCTGAAGACGCCATCTGTCCGTAAGTCCTTCACTTTGCACCCGGCCTGTCAATCTAGGCTCATGCTTCCAGCTCACAGGCTCCCCAAGAAGCCGGAGTCATGAGGTTCAGACCTGGTACTTCAATCTGCAAACCCAAGTCTCAACTGCTTATCATTCTTTCAGTTCTGAACATAGTATTCATCTGCAACTTCCCCACGCTAGATGTGAGCACAAGATGTGAAGCACTTGAAACCGCGCAAGTTTCCAACAATGGTGACAAAAGTCCACCAAAATCACAATCTGATCAAAGTTACAGCCCTTGCCTTACGCTAAAGCTCACAGATGATGGAGCTTTGCGTTGTTCGCCTGTAGCTTCAGGCATTTCAAACTGCCCAAGCAGTTGGCAGAGCTGCACCCTTGGAACCTAGGAGGATCCTAGCTACCTACAAACTCCGCCATTTTGCCCCAAGTGCTTTTCACTTTACAAGTTCAACTTGCCGGGTTCAACTTCCAGAGTGCACCAGAGTGATGATCACCTTGCAAAGCAGAGCAAAACGGTGAAAAAGTGCATCTACCGTACCTCGGTATCAAGTTCTGAGGCTCTAAAACTGCTAAAGCCAAGAGAGCACATGTAGAGGAAATTTGACCCGAGGTACCTATAAAAGTTGGACTTGGTTGAAGTTGGGCTCACCCGGGCACATTCCGGTTGTGCATACCTAGGTATTACCCGGTGTGGGAGGCACGCACGTGCCCCTGCTCGGCGTTTCCGGCTCCTGGTTTCCACGTAACGTACCTTCCCTTTACAACCGGGGCAATGCCAGCCGCACCGGGCAACTTTGAAGTTGCTTATAATTGATTCAGCTACCAGGTAGCTGCTAGGGCCGAGGCCCGAGGGCGAGCTAGCAACTGATCAAGAGCGCATGGGCCCCAGGAGCTCTGCTGATGTCAGCATCCTCTGCGGCCACGATGGCGGCCGTTTTACGGTTCCCATTGCTTCACAGTAGGGTTGGCCTGCGCAGTGCACAGGCTGGATGTGCCGTATCCAATGCTGATCCTACCGTACGCGCCACTGGCACAAGGGTACGTACCGACTTCCCTGTAACGCCAACGCTTTTCACCGTGATTCTAGAAGCCAAAGCGGTCTGTACCGGTAACACTGAAGCTTTACCGAATACGGCCGCCCGAAAAAGTGCAAAAGCGACACGGGCCACGGGCCCACGGCCCACCACGGCCCACCACTAATACCGGTGATCAATCGACCTTGGGCTGGGGAGCCGGGCACCGGGCCAGAACCCAGCCTCTCTCGCTGGGGGGACAGCCCGGGTAACGAAGTCCCGACTCCCTCGGCACCATCCTGCAAACCAAGCAAGTCGTTCGCACCTTCGCAGCTTCTTTTTAGCTCGGTTTACTGACAAAGTCAGTACCGAGCTGTCGCAATCGACCCCGGAGTTTCAGAAAAGGGGGGAGTGGCAATGCAGACTGGATCACTCTATTAAGCCCGGTTCGACCCATCGAAAGCAGGTTTCAGTGGTTGAAAAGCTGAAATTGCAGACTCCCGTTTTCGACGGCTTTTGAGGTTCGATGCCCCGGAAAACTTTTTTTTTCGCCTTAGACCCCGAACCCCGGCACGTGCCGTCGTCGCGGGTCCTATGTCTCGCGGCCGGTACGGCGGCCGACAACTAGATCGAGTTAAGCCTGCCTGCCGGCTGCTCGGTTATGAAACCTTTCGCACGCACTGCAATTCTGGAAACCCTAGGATATTGAAATCAATACCGCCCGGTAATATATTCAATGATTATAAGCGGGCCTGACTCCTGATGTCTAGCTAATAAATCACACTGCGAAAGGCTTGCAAACTCCAGATTTCATTTCAGAAAATTTCAAAATAATACTCCTTATTGTAAACCGAGCGACCGCAGCGTTTCGCTGCCTACATTTTTTGAAAGTTTGAACAGACCAGCATCCAGGGCTACCTTTGCAACTTCTATTTGCTACATTTGCGTCAGTTGCGAGGGGTATCCACCGGTAAAGGGTGAAGCCATGGCAAAGGCAGATTCGTCAGTCTCCGGCTCCAAGAAGGGCTCAAAAGTCTACCTTTTGACTGCTTGCCAGACGGCATTCTCGCGTCCATTCTGACCCGCAGTACAGGTGTCCTCTTCTACGATCGGGAAATGGCGAATGCAGGCCGATCTCGCCAGGCTTCAGACTGTTTGCCCGCGTTTTCACCAAGTCGCTATAGAGGTTGGAAAGTTGCACTTTGATCTGCGGAAGCTGGACATGCGAGCTTGTGAAGGTTCTATTGTCGAACGTCTCTACTTAGGCTCAGAGCACATCACAAGCTTGCTTTTTCAGATGAATCCTGCTGAGGTACTCTGCAGCGGGCTCGTCTCCAGCTTTGCGAGGTGTGCTCCAAAGCTCGAGAGCTTTAGTCTCAATGGTGCCAGGCTGGATTGCCCGGGTTCAAACTCTGACACATTGACCCAGCAATTGCTCAAGTCCTTGTCGAGCTGCCCACAGCTGACGACCCTAAGTTTTGGGGGGGTGTTAGATGATGGCAGTGCCACCAGTTTGACAAGGGCTCTCTCGAGCAAGCGGCCCTTCCAAAGTCTTAAACAGATTGATGTGGACCACATAGAGCTCTCTGACTCTGCATTGAGGTCTCTTTTGGAGCAATGCCCTGTCCTTGAGGAACTCCGAGCTTGGACTGTGATAGGTCTGGAGGAGCCGCAAATCAAAACAAGGAGCCTGCTAAAGCTCCTTCTAGTGACGAAAGCCCGCTGTCAAAGGTTGGAGATTCTTGCTCCAAAGCTCGTCGATGTCACACTCGATGGTTTTGGCAACGTCTGCATTGATGCCCCGGGGCTCCTCTCTTTGAATGTTGGTGGAGGCAGCATAACCAGATCGCAACCTTGGAATATTGAGGAGTTGCACTTGCGAGGGCTCTGGGAGTTTCGCAATGTCATGTCCTTGCTGCAAGTTTGTAGCGGAGCAAAAACGCTGTTTTTCGGAGTGGACATGAACGTGACTGTTGAGCCCGGGGACCATGCTGTGGTAAATCTGATTAGTGAGATCCGCAAGTTTAGATATGTGGAGGCACTTTACTTACATGCGGACATGGTCAGGTTACTTGAGTGGCCAGCCGGACCCGCCTTCAAAAGCTTAGAGCGACTTTCGATTGAACTACCCCTAGGAGAAGAGATCTACATTGATCACTGCGTCAATCTTGTTGACGGGAGCCCTAATCTGGAGTTTTTGGATCTGTCGTTCAGTGGACGAGACGCCTCATTGGAGGCCATCGATAATATGCTTCGCTTCATAGAACTACAAAAACGTTATCCCAACCTTGATATAAGAGTGCATCCGCTAGGTTGTTATTGAGACATTCAGTAGATTCTTGCGATCTTGAGCACCCGTACAGCCATGAGGGCTGGAATGCTTGATCTTATTTGTCTAGCCCGAGCTTGTGTAGTTCCATACTTAATATGCATGGCCGGGTCCTTCTCGAGAGTCTTTATGGAAACGTGATGCTTGGAGTTTGACAAGGTGATTTATCGTCGCACTTAGTATGACAAGAACTGGCAACTTAGGCTCGATCCTTGAACTCGGAATCATTGCCTATACAGGTTCACGAATTAGCTGATATTATTTTTCGTGACGGCTCGGCACGCCCATAAAGGTGATCTATATATCTTCAAATCAGCTGGCAACCACAATCACCAATGATCCGAGAGGGCATGCATTTGAAGATTTGAGCGGCAGCGATAAGCTAGTTCAATGCTTTCGTAGTGCATGTTGAACTATAGCTTGAACGTGGTGCGTGCAAAGCTGCAGCTAGCGTTGACAAGTGTTGAGCGCTTATCATTGCCGCCCCGGGCAGAATTTCAATAGACAGTCGGATCTGACTTCGATGCAATCTCGAAAGCGACCGCGCGGCCTACTATATCAGACAAACCGCGGTCACCGCGACAGCCATGCAGCATATTTACGATTGACACGCCGTCAATGTGTTAACGTGCACATGTCCGCTAATGGCCGGCAGCTATTCATAGCACTACCCGACATTCGTATGAACTTGAACATGCTGACATGAACACAGACTTCATCAACGATCTCAAATGGATTGCCATCGACTCATGTAATGTAGATGTAGCAGCTAGATGTAAGGCCATGGCATGAGCGTGAGCATGATGCCATCGAAAGTGCTGGCCTAGAAGAGTTTTCGGCATGCATACGGCTTCTGTCTAGGTATATTTCGGCCCTACTATAAACCACGTGTAATGTCTGGCATAGACTTTTCAAAAGTGCACCCATTTGTATTACGGTTGCCAGCGGTCACTCACATTTGAAAGTCCACTACAGTCCAGGCGCAATTGCAGATTGCAAGTGACTCGTCAAAATGTCGAACGTTTCCATGTCATGACCGTCCTAACCATAAGCGGGGCCGAAGCTTTGGAGTCTATTATTCAAATGCTAAAGCAACTTTACCGGGACAAGACTTGTTCTGCGAAGTGTGGCTGGCCAAAGTACGCTTGTTGGCAGCACGTTGAGCAGAGCCTGCCTATGTTGTGGCCTCCGAAATAAGATATGCGCACAACTTGCACTACTCTTGCATCACGAAGACACGACCATGATCAAAGCTCCATTAGTCCTTTCCTCCTTGTATGAGCAAGGATAAGAGATCGACCAGGTGATCAATACAGCAGGCCTCACGGCGGCACTCATTTAGAAATGATCCAAAAGAGCTAGAGACGGTAGCTTAGGTTGACCTTCAAACGCAGACAACAGATTAGTGGCTCTATAATAGAACGCCTCTGACCCTTGTTCGTAGCACTTGTTCTAGCTTCAAGGGTGACGGAACCCAAATGGCACGCGTACATTCCACTTGACTATGTTTTATGCCACTCTACACCGTTACACCTCAGGTGTTACACAATGAAGCAGCTTTTGATCTCGCGTTAAGTTCTTTCCAATGCCGCATGCTCGTACGCTCCTCCTAAGGCTGAGAACTTGCAAATTTGGCGAGTTCCCACAGGGCTTCCCCTTCCTGCCAGTCCAACTACTTTCGCGTTTCTGCATTTACTACCTGATCCTACTCTGACAGGTTCGCTTACACATACACCTACCGTCTGCTTCACTGCTTTCCCTTGTACATATGTTGCCTCTTTTTGGAGGGTCACTGCTTTACCTTGCACATATGTTGCCGCTATTCGGAGGGTCATCTCGAGGCTCTTCCGTTAATTGTCGATCGGCCAACCTGTACCTTCGAAGTTCCAAGTCTGCATTTTACTCCGCGCACGTCAAGTGGTGAACTCCGAGAACCAGGCCGGCCCCCGCGTGCTCCTCTTCACCTTGCCCTTCTCCCCGGGGAACCTCTTCCACCCAGGCAGGTCGTGTACCGAGCCGTCCGCCCCTACTTGAATCGGATACGCCATAATATGCCCCTCCATGTCCGCAACCTTTTCCTCGGCATACTTCCGCCAGTTGCTCTCCGCGAGCTCGTTGACATACCGGACGCACTCCGGACTGCCCGGGTCGTCGAACCGGGGGTCCAACCGGCCGCCGAAGTGCTCCGCCCATAGCGAGAGCCGGTAGCCGTAGACGTCCCCGCGGGGGGTGCGCACCCCGCCCGGGGTTTGGAGGGTTCGCGTGACGGCGTGCGGCTGGAAGGCGCTCATGGCGATCTCGGTGTCGCGGCCGCCTTCTAGGGAGCGCTCGTTCAGGTTGGCGGAGCCGATGTTGAGCGTCTCGTCGTCCTGGACCATAATCTGCACAAATTGGGGCCGGTGAGTCATTCAAAAACTCGAGGCAGAGTGAAGATACGCTATTCGTTCCATCGGAAGCGAGGAGTTATCAACGGCGGACGTCGAGCGGCCGAAAGGAGAGAAGGGAAAGGACCGCACTGGAAGAAGCATGAGCTTGAAATATTGATGTAGCCCTCGTTCCGCGTCTGATGGCCTGACATTATGGAGCGAACGGAGATTTCGGCTGTGTGGAATCAAGCCTTTGGATTGAGACGGTGTCGAGGGGTCAATGGGAAGGCCGGGAAGCAGTGCGAAGGAAGCACGCAGTCCGCGCCGCCGAAGGATGGTACCAAACATGGCCTTCCGCGCTTAGTAGGACCAGAAATCTTGCTGAAACGGAGATTCTTTGCGACCAAAGCCGGATGTTGAGCTCTTCCCATTCTTCTCGTCAAGCAGAACGACAACGACTGACAAGACCCGCACGAAGGGACTGGTGATTCGGCGGAGTCTCGATCAGGTGAACGGTGGAGGGGGGAGAAAGCTGACTTCAGGTGGAACCTCTTGGAGACGCCTCTTAGCTAGAACCCTCCTGCACCGACGGTCTAGCTTGCAGATGCCTAGCTTGAAGCAGATTAGAAAGGAAACTCTTAAAAGAAGGGACCATTTTCAAAGTCAGTGGCAACTCACGCGGCTTTCCGTGAGTACTACCTCCCTGAAACTCGTATCGCCCGGAGACCTTAGAACCACAATCACCTTCAAAAAGGCTAGGAAATTGTCATTGGGCCCACCTTGGCGTGCATGTGGATGAAGCTCCGGCGCGGCTTGCGGCGGCCGCGCTTCGTCGGGATGCAGCGGCCGCGCTCCTTCGGCTGCTCCGCGGGGCCCCCGTGCGGGCCGACCGTGTCTTGCCTGTTGCCCAGGCAGTAAAAGTTGAGGAAGTCCCGCGGGTGCCGCTTGCCGGCCAGCCCGTTGCGCGACAAAGCCTCCGCGACCACCCTGTAAAGAGTAACAGTCGAAAGCTTACAGATCGGAGGTAAGCAAGATGAGTTTCGATATGATGATTGACATTTCGGACGTGCCTGTACATAGCGGCCATGGTGTACGCTGCCAATAGAGCATGCCTGTACTCAATACTTACAACCAAGCAAGCTTTGGACGCTTCCCGGACGCCACTTCGGACGCGTGCCGGCACTTTTCAAACAAAAGAACCTGAATTGGACGCGTTTCGGACGCACCTGTACATGTCGGCCATGGTGAGGCGCTGCCAGTAGAGCATGCCTTCACAAGAATCTTACAATCAACAAACTTCGAGAGGATTCGGACGTGTGCCTGCACATTCTGATCTCCCAAAACAAGATTCGGACGCGTTTCGGACGTACTTGTACATGGCGGCCATGGTGAGGCGCTGCCAGTAGAGCATGGCGTCCGCCTGCGGGCCGTAGATCTCGGGGTGCATCGGCACCAGCATGTACGCTGCGAACGGCTCCCCGCCGTCGATCTTCTGCGCGATCTTGAGCGCGATCTCCATCGGCACCGTGTTGTTCGCGCTCGCTGTTTTGTACCTGGGTAAGGAATATTACAGGAGGAATTGGGTTCCGGAAAAACCATGGCCAGAAAAAGATTTTGAAGGCCGGGCGGACCCATCGAAGTGCTTCTGCTCAACCGAGAAGCCATGTGGGAAGCACGGCAACAAGTCCTCACAACGTCAATCTTCGCATATCTGGCATTTGCGGAGTTCAAATGACGTCCCAATGCTTTCCGATCAGTTTGCTTCCTATCTAAACAGCCCCCTTTCAATCTTAGACCACTCCGTTCTAGTCGCCTGGACAAATCCAAGCTACGAAAAGACACCGAAACCACAAAAAAGCGCAGGGGATCACTTAACGGAGCCTCTTCTCACCGTGGCCACGCGTAGCTGCTTCCCACATAGTACTGGTTCTCGATGTACAGAAACCGCTGCGCGCGTCGGATCGTGTACACGTACGCGTTTTGAATGCTCCTATCCACCACGACGCCCTTCTCCCGATACAGCCCGCACTTGAAGTCCTCTTCCGGGTCTTCCGGCAGCCCCGCGTGCGAGGCGGAATCCGCGCTGCCGAACACCTGGACGTGCCACGTGGCGGGGTCCGATTCGTTCGTGGCCGCGAGCTCGGGACACGCGTCCTCCGACCAGTGCGGCTTGTCGAAGCGCCAGCCGGGGGGGTGCGCGAGGCCGCGCGTTTCGGAGATGGGCAGGAGCGCATTCACATGTTCCTTGGCCAGCTCGCGCCACTCCTGCTCGAAGTGTGTGAATACGTCCCAGGCGGCGGGGCCGTCGATGCAGCACTCGGCGTCGTGCCAGGGCTCGTACCTGAATTGGCGAAGCAGAAGGTAATGATTCTGCTAACTCTACGGCGCTTTGCCGGAGAACGACATCGCGAAAGGAGAGGACGAAGTTCGTAAAACCCCCAAATGTAACTAGAAAGAGCATGCGGACAAGGCAAGTCTCGAATTACAGAGCACAACGTTGCTGCATGGAGGGGAAAGCAGCAAGGCTCCTCGTTCGAGCAAGAGTCGCGGGTTTGAATGGCAAGTGAAGCCGCAATTGTTGCGGACCAAGCGACGACTTGCGAGGTAGAAATCGACCGCTTTCGTCGTAAATGCTGTACTGAAGTTCAAGCACTATTCCTTTAAATCAAAGAGGAAAATGGACCCCGAAGGACCATTTAGTCGCAAAATAAGGACATCCAACTTTAGTCGCTAAGGAGCGAACAGAGTCTCAAGAGTCTGATCCAACGCGCAAACGAAAGATGGTCGGATTCACCCACGAAACAGATCACGGGAAGGTAGTTCAGAAGAACACTCCCAAGCAATAAAGGCCCCTCACTTGTCTTTCCTCCAGCTGAACAGGCTGTGTGCCGGCGTGTCGTAGTCGTGGTCCGTCGGATCCAGCCCGCCAATGAATGCGAGCAGCCGTCGCAGTCCACCATCCGCCACGTGTCCCCTCGCCGGGCCGTCTGCGACGTGTCCGCTCCCAACGCCGTCCGCCAGGAAGATCTTGTGGTGCAGCGTGAACCCGATGCGACGCGCGAGCGCGCCCCAAATGGAGCTCATGTTGGCGGGGTCGCGGGGCGCCAGCACGCAAGTTACCTTGGAATCTGCGGAGAGGGTAAGAGGTTGTGAAGAATCGAGAACTATTAGGAGATGAAACGAGAAAGTTGCTGTCACGAAGCTTGTAACTAGGCTATCACGAGTTGGGGCAACGTCTGGTATTTGAGTGTCCAGGATAGTGCAACAACGTATGAGCTGTTGATGGGAATCGTGCGGCGCCCGCACTCAAACCACCTTGAAGTTGGCGGACATATAACTTCCTGTTATAAGGGATGATGTCCCCGGGTTTTGAGGGCAGTGCAGCTTATGTGCCGCTACAACCGCTAGTTTGGCAATACAGGGCCGAAATCAGGACGGAAATTACCTCGTAGTTCGCGAACAACTTGAACCAGATCAGGGTCACAACAAGAGGAAGAAGTGTTGTCAGGGTTGCTCTCACGACTATTGAGAAAGTGTAACGTTGTTTCTGCGAGGAAGCGAGGGGCTAGAACCTCGTGTTTGCCAAAACGTTTGTCCCAGCGTTGAAATGTGTATTGATAATGTTCGAGGACGCTTGTTTCGCAAGATGTGCCGAGGCCGACAAGAAAATGACGAGAATTCATATGTTACGCGAGGACCGACATTTCGAAAGGGCTGAAAGGCAAGCGCCGATGTCTTCTTGCCCCCGCTTTTCCGCCCCTACCTCTGAAGTACTCCACGGCGGCCCCGTTGTGAGTCAGGTCGACTGCCTTGGTCGCCGCCAACGGGTTCCGCTTCAGCTTCGACGACACGACGTCCCAAAGGATAATGTTTACGCGCACCCCCTCCTCCGCCTTCTGCTTCAGCAGCTCCCCGATCGTGGGCCCCCCTAGCGGCTTTTCCGCCGCGTTCTCCGCGGGCGGGAACGCGCGGCTGGTGTGCGTGAAGTGCCACGTGGCGATGTAGATGAGGTGCTTGTCGTTTCGGACGGTGGTGAAGATGTCGCCCCACGCGCTGGGGGAGGTGTCCGCGTTTCGGACGGTGTGGGTGTCTGGGCAGGGAATTGAGGGGAGCAGACCGGGGGGCACGTGGGCGTCCTGTAGAGGCAATCTGGTGTGAATGCTTTCAATCTGGGAAGAGGAGAATCAGAAAAATGGAGTATTTCTCAATTCTGCGGACATTGCGTTCTTTCTTTTATCGAGGAAGCTCGTCGAATTTGCAGCCCAGATTTGTCCGTTATCAGTTCTAGACCATTCTGTCTACGACTTCACAGCGTTTTTCGATCCCAAAAAGGAAGCTTTTTAGACACCGTGCCTCGGAAACATGCATTGACTAAGCTGCATCATGTGACCGCATGCCGACCGCAGGTGCAAACAAAGTCTCTCCAAAATCTTCGAACAATTTGTTCAGTTCGTGCATCACTTATTCTTTTCTTTCACCAGAATATCTTTTGCTGACCTGCGAATCCCGCGACGATAAAGTTCATCTTAAAGGCTTTTCTCTTTCATTGAAGCCGCTTCCAAGAGTATGTTCTGAGCCCAGCTGCAGACGCAAATTAAGAGTTCACATACCTCAAAGTCACTCACAACAGCCCATCTCAACCATTCAAACCCATCCAATGAAGAGGCCCTGCGCCGGCCGTACCTGATACGCCGTCACCCTACATCCCCTGCGCATCGGGAAGTACGAGTGCGGAACAGGGCCCGGCCCTCGTCTGTATGCCTCGTCTCGGTCCACGCTAACGAACTCTAACCTAACCCGGATCTCCCCGTCCCCCCTCAAGGGCCGCCCCTTCCTGTCCAGCAGCGGGAGCCACCCCTCGAACGCGTCGCCCCCCCGGATGACGTCAGCGATGACGTCAGCGCGCCCCAGCTTCTCCGCCCCGACCGCGCCGTCGTCCTTGGCCTCGAACGTCAGCGTATCGACGGCGTGCGCGAGGTACACGACGAAGCGCTCGTTCCACACGGGGTGCGCGTCGGCGTGGCGGACCTCGCGGGTGGCGGCCAACCGGGCGGGGCCTGGGGTTAAAGAAGGGGATATACGATTTTAGCCGGGAGAGAAAGAGGTTAAATGACCGGTTAAGGTGGTCGGGGGAAAAGTCCAGGAATAGGGAGTTCAGGTTGGAGCGTTCGATCGAGACCGGGTGCGCGTCGTGGTGACGGACCTCACGGGTGGCGGCCAGCCGGGCGGGGCCTGGGTATCAGGGGTTTGAGGTTTTGGCCGGGAGAGAAAGGGGTTAAGTGATTGGTTAAGGTGGTCGGGGGAATGGCAAGAAGGTAGGAAGTTCCAAGTTTGAGGGTTCGATCGAGACCAGGTGTGCGTCGTGGGGGCGGACCTCCCGGGTGGCAGCCAACCGGGCGGGGCCTGGGGTTAAGAGAAAAGGAGATTATGTGGTCGGGGAAGGTGGTTGGAAGAGATCGCCATCGAAGACGAAGTTAACTTCGTTTATCCAAACGGTTGTGAGACTGTAGGGTCCGTTTCAGAGGGGTGCGCGTCGTGCCCCGAGTGGCGCCCAACCGGGCAGGAGCTGAGGTTAAAAAAAGGGGTCGAGCAGTCTGTCGAGGTAGTTGGGAAAAAGTGGCTAGGAAGAACGAAATTCACTCCGTTAAACCAAAGCTTAAGATTTCGAGGGTTCGTTGCGGACGGGGTGCAGGTTGAGGTGGCGGACCTCCCGGCTGGCGGCAAACCGGGAGGGTCCTGTAGGGGAGAGACGGAGGTTCATTGATTGGTTAATATGGTCGATGGAAGTGGCCAAGGCAATCCGAAGTCCAGGTTCCGGAGTAAGAAGGCAAGTTCAGTAGAGTGAGTTTGTTCAGAGGAAGAAAGAAACACGAGAGTTCAGATGCGTATGAAAGGGGACAGTAGGGCACAGATTAGAAGCAGTATGAGAGCGACCTGTCTCTCAGTTGCGTTGTCAGATCAACAATTGATATTTCATGTTGATTTTGACCATACCGGTCAGAGTGAGATGTCCAGCAATCCGCTGTTGCTCGAGACTGTGCGGCTGCCGGCAGCTAATGACAACAATGCATATGTTTTGTTCAAGAGACAACCCGTAGATTTTCAGTATCCCCCTTTCCTTTTGACGAAACAGGGATGGCTTCCTTCCTCGCTCAGTCAAGGAAGAGCAACGTCTGTTGGCCTATCATCTCCTTTGCTGCGTCCTTTATGTATTGGCTTGCAAGCCTTACGGCAGGCACCGAAGCGATCTGCTGCTGCCTTACGCGCCCCCGATAATGTGTGAGAAAGCCCAACTTCTACAGGTATTCAAATCTCGAGACAGTTTATGCATTGAACAGTTCCCACCGTATGTATCAGCCAGCGACACGAGAGGCACAGCTTTGTGCACTTCCATCGCTCTCTTGTGATCTCTCAAAGGCCGCAATTGGCCCTCAGTCGCGGTTCCTGATCACCCAGAGTTGTGCACTGACCGTTTGACTCCAACCTTCAGAATCCCCACATTGCAATTGCTGACGACAGGACACTCACCCGCATTCAGCACCACGTAGCATGACCGGGTCCTATGCTCTTCGTCCCCAGAGCTAGCGCCAGAAGAACTAGACGTGCGAGCTTCCTGAACGCAGGCCCTGCATCCAGAGCGCAGCTGGGGCATGCACCCGTAAAACGCTACTTCCAGGTTCCTCCCCTCGAGAATGGCGACATCTAGAGTGCCGTGCAACAAGACCATCTTTGGATATCTATGATCGAGCTGTCTCAGAGTATCTCTGGATGAAGCTCTCAAAGTCTTTGAACAAAGAAGGCAAGGCGGGCTTGGAAGTGCATTGGCGCGGCTTGGATGCTCAAATTTTCAATGCTTTCGGATCCTTTCGGTGTGATGCAAGTCGGTGTGGAACAAAACCATGGCAGATGAGGTGCCGGATGGACCAGGAAAAAGGAACGGCTCAATTCCGTTGAAGGATTGAGCTGAGCAGCAAAAGCGGCTCATGTCAGCAGATGCAGATGCTGATGCAGATGCGGATGGCGGCGCCGAGTCAAGACGAAGCTTGCCGAGCGGGCGGCCTGTGCATGCAAACTGATTGAAGACGCCAGGTGGCACACGGTTGGCTGGCCTTCAGGCTGCCGGGAATTACAAGTTACCCGACTTAATTGGCATTCATGTTACCACGACGAAGTCGGAGCTCTGGTTTCAATCCAGCTGAAGTTCCAGCCGAAGAAGCCGCCCACAGAGCGCTCATGCGCGCGATCGGTCCTACCACAATTAGCGCGTATTTCCGTCCTGCAAGGGCCGGCCCGGCGACGCAGTGCGATGGGGCCAGCGAATTCGAGAGCTCTGGCGCATCTTGCAAGGGACACCGCCCTACACGAACATGACACGTGTCACGTGCATGCCCGAGCTAGGGAACACAATGAATGACGGCAATATAACTTAACGCGTCCTGAGACGTGCGCATCTAAGTACTAATGTTAACGCACCGCGGTAGCTCAATCTTCTGTACTCAATTTAAGTTGCCCTCAGGTCACTCATTACGTACATGCGGACAATGAAATCAACAATGGAGTAACGCTATTGCATCTTCTCAACCTGAGTCAATTAGGTACGAGCATGGCAAAGACAGCAACATATCTCCGAGTAATTTGCGAAGAAAGTTGGAACGGCTACGCAGTCGGAAGGAGAGGACCAAGATTGACCATGAACGCCGAAGATGAAGTGCTGGATTGAAGAAAGTTCTCGTCGTACCTGTTTTGGATCATGATTCTGCATGGGTTTTGCCTTTGTATGAGACGCATTTGCAAGAGCAGATACAAAAGAACATACATACATTTGACGACACCCAAACGCCTTGAGCTTGGATGGGCTTGAACTTCTATGGCTTGCACCAACAAGCGCGACTTGCGCATCCTACTTGCAACTTCCCCCTTCGCTTATCCGTAATAATGATAGTTCCACCGAGAAGAGCCAACAACAATAACCACCATATAACGACAGACACATACCTACACAGGGCCCCCACATCATCCTTGTACACTCATCGCGCTTTGCAAAGCCGCCTGCTGCGCCGGCGACAACGCCCCAAACGTCGCCCGCACTACGTCTACCGGCAGCGAATTTTGCAAATGCCGCAGGACGGCCCGTATCCGCCCGGCGGCCGCGTCGGTGACTAAGTCCTTTTCCGTCAGCACTTCCGCAAAAACGGCGATCACTTTCGGGAGGTTTTGCTGCCCCGGGCCAAGCAGGTCCGGGTCCGACTTTTCGACGAGCGACACCAGGTACTCGTGCACGAGCTTGGCTTCTAGTTGGTCGTTTTTGATGGGCAGGCAGCTCAAAAAGGCAGGTAATACCTGGACACAGGGGGGTTCGTCAGACGCTAGTAGGGTTGTAAACTCTGCTTACAAACGTTCGACAGTACAGGAAGGTGATCTCTGTTGAGTTAGACGCCTACTGGGAGCATCTTGACGAGTAGCTCTATACCTTGGAGTACGGGCCCGGCACACAAGGCGAATTTGATGTAATCAACAGCCAGGCTTCCAGCTTCAGCTGCAAGGCCCAAATTGTTGCGACATACAAGCAACACAGTGAGCATTTCTTCCGGAACGGCATGTGTTGCAAGGCAGAACCAGTGACGTTCCTTGATTGGAATCAGACCGGACGAGAGCTATCCAGCGGGGGCAAGTACGATGCAGAAGCAGGCGTAGCACTGGGGGCTCCAAATCCTCTTAAGTGCAAAATCCGACAGGGCGCCACCGCCTTCACCAGAGAGCATCAACCGTAATGACATCCACGAATGAGCACAACTCAAATGAGCCAAACCCTGCAGCCCGCCCACCAGTTTCGCGTCTATGCAGTCCCGCTGGAACTCGCAGATCTTGCCGACCGCGCTGATCGCGTTTTCCGTCGCGAGCACGCTCTCCTCCTCGCGCGCGCCCTCCGCGCTGATCACCGCGTTCAGCTTCGCCAGCGCCTCGTGCGCGACGCCACGGAACCGCGCGCCGCAGAATTGCGCGCACACGCCGAGCCCGAACACCGCGGCCTGCCGCGTGTCCGCGTGCGGGTCCGTTGCGCTGTAGTCGAAAAAGTTGATTCAGCTTCGGCTAGTACTTCTGCTGTCAGAGTCACAGAACTTCACATCTTCCGTTCGGGGAAGTGAAGACTCGGAAAGGAAAGAACAACTTCGTGAACGGTCCTAGGAAGGGGAAGGTTTGCCAGCATCAGCCTTGAAGAAGCCGATCCAGGTGAGAACAAAGGCCTACAAATCTTCATCTACAATCAGCATAGACAAGTCCGTTTCTCTAGTCAGATTGTCGGGAATCGGAATCGAAAGGAGTCATGATAAATCATCACCTGTGGAGCATCGCCGGCATGAAGAGGTCGAATGAATATAAATGAGAGCATAAGGGCGTTCAGATTCTGGTCGACTTCAGCGTCATGAAAGATTCCCTTTCTCTCGCCGGATTTATCGAAGTAATTCCAAGTAAAGTCTGTTCGGAATCGTCACCTGTGGAGCATCGCGGGCATGAAGAGGTCGAAGTACTGGTTGCCGGGTTCGCCGGTCTGTTCGATGAGGTCGTCGAAGATGCAGATGATCGCGCGGCGCTCGGCGGCGGGGCGCTTGGGCTCGAGCAGGGGCGCGAGGAAGGGGACGAGCGTCGCAATGAGCGGCAGCAGCTGGGCCTTGTACACCTTGAGCATCTTGCCCAGGCATTCCGCCAGCTGCGGAGAGGCGAGCGGAAAATATAAGTTATAGTCGCCTCACTCTCTCTGAGGGGTCCCGACTCTAACACTGATAATCATGCATAAAACGTGGCAACAACTGAACTTTGTGTACACTTTGAGCAGCTCGCCAAGGCACTCCGCCAGCTGCAGAGACGCGAGCGGGAGCTGGCGCTTGCTTAGGCTGCTAATAACTCGAGGACGACTCAAGGGAGTATCAACTCGGGGTTGAAACACCTGCTGTTTGCGAAATGCAGAGTAACCATGCTTTATATTTGTGAACGTTGCGAAAATTAGGCTGGGATCGTAAAGGGGGCAGCGCTGGGCAGCAAAGTGTGGAGTCCACTGCGGCGTTCTGAGGAAGCAGTCGCAAAGAAGCTAGATTTCGTCGGCCGGATTTGGAAGCTCGTCGACCGGATCTAGAAGCTGAGATCAATAGAATGGGCTGCACTTCCAGAACAACCCGTTTCTGTTTCAGCAAGCCACTCGCAACACCATCAGGGCTCAGAGCAGACGCCGGGCATGAACAACAGCACACACATACCTCTTCCAGCAATTCAGCTTCCTGTTCAATCTCCTCCCCAAGCACCTTCCCCCCAATGATAAGCGGACACTCTCAAACCTTAAACCCTAAAGGCGCAAACCCCTAACACCGGATACAACAGAGTGAACACCCATACCTGTTCCAGCACTTCGTCTTCCTGCTCGATCTCCTCCTCCAGCATTTCCCCCTCCTCCTCGTCGAAGTCCTCTGTGCGGCTGCGCGCGTGCTTCTCCTCCTTGCGCTTGAGCGTCTCCGTGATGACTTCCTGGAAATTGTCCACGATGCTTTTCACTTGGCCCGGGTCCAGCAGCGGCCCCGCCACCTGGATGCACTCGCCCAACGACTCCAGCATGCTCGCCACGATCTCTGCCTCGGGCTCCTGCGGGGGATGTAATGCTGGTGAGTTTCATAAGTTCAAGCGTTACGGTTCCTATGATGAATCTTGGTGAGTGAATGCATCTTGTTCTGGTGTAAAGAGAGACCATGAAAGACGCGACTCCAGCATGCTCGCCACGACCTCCGCCTCTGGCTCCTGCGGGGGGTGTAACGCTGGTGAGACTCTACAAAAGAAGAACGTTACAGAGACTGAGTGTATGAGGCTGTTGATATCTATAAAAGGAAAACGTTCTGGTGACTCTACCGTCTCGGACTCCTGCCGGGGATGCGATGTATGTGAGTTGTAGTGAGGGAGAAAACACAGCGACTTCAAACAAGTCGCTACGGATTGCCGCTTCCGGCTGCTGCGTGAGAGGAAACACTGGTGGAGTTGTGACGAGTGAAAAGATATGAGAACGTCTCCAGCAAGCAACACGAGAAGCAAAACGCGGGTGTCTCTTTCAAGGATTAAGCCTCACCTTGCCCAGGCTCTCTACCAGGCTGCCGATGATGACGTCAGCCAGCTTTTTCAGCTGCTGGATGTCCTGCCCGTTCTTTTTCAACGCCAGCTCCGCCGACCGCAGCAGCTCCGGCATGGCTGTAGAGCAGTTTGAGAAACATTGAGCCAAATGGCACATCCATCTAAGCCCTTACACTGAAGTAATCTCCTCCACTCTTTGGAGATTAAAGGTCGGAGTCCGAGGATAGTTAACGGAACTGATGGCTTGTGGCTAAGAGTTCCGAACGATTCAATGGTACTTGAGTAGAGTAAAGAGACGAAGGATCAAACAGCAACGCCCATGGCAAAACAATGTTTGATGTCTCACAATCTGCTTCACACTGATAAGAGGCCCTCTCAAGCTCTGACAAACTCATGGCGGCATCTGGAGCGGGCAAGCCTCGCTCCTTTCCCCAGAAACGAAGTACCTAAACTGAGTCACGGCCGTGCCCACGTATCGACGATGGTGCACGAACTCTCACCTGACACGGCAGCTTTTCGCACTTCCTCATGGAAGTAGAATTTGATCAGCGGCACCATGATCTCAGTTACCTGCCAGAATCAGAAACGAGCATCTCAGTCACTTACTTGATGCACACCGAGCGCCACATAATCCAGGGACAGGAACGCAGCGTATATTGGCCCCTGGCTCATTCTTGAACCTTGTCCTGCTCGTTAGTTTCTACTCTTTCTCGGCTGTACGACAGAAACGGAAACGCCACCCTTGTTGTCCTCAGAGAAACGTGAACAACGCTGTCGCATAAGAAAGAGATTGCGGAAGTCACAAAAAGCAAGTGCTGTAGATAGCACGCCGTACCTGTTCCACCCAGGGCGCGAAACCCTCTTTTAGTTCGTCGGCATAGCAGCAGAGCATGTTGCACGCCGTCGCCTTCTCCTCCAGCACGCTCGTCCGGATGTGTATCCGCTTGTCGCCCAGCGGAATCGTCTCGATGCTGGCGGAACAAAGCGGGGCGTCAGTCGACAAGGATTGAGGAGTCGGGTTGCACGGTCCAGGTCAAGAGACTCAGTGTTGAAATGATTCAACAGATGGTGCACTCTTCAGCGTGGTCTCAAAGAATCCCGGGAATCATCGAAAGAAAGAATCATCGACAGCATTCGATGATGCATGGTCCGGTCTATAACGGACGGCGACGTGAGAGGCGTGTTGCGGATGCGAACGTGAATGTCAAAATACGGTCTGGGCACTTTCACTTACTGCAAAAGCTGGAATTGAAAACGGCGTAAGGCAAGCGACATGGGGACAGCAGATTACCACCGACCAGACTCGTCTTCGTTCACGCTCAAATCTTGACTCGGCGTTCCAAAGAAGGCACCCGCTCTTGCAAGTAAAGTCGCCAAGCTAGGGGCGAAACCCAGAACTCCCCAACACAGCAACCTCTTTGTTCAGCACCGTAACTAGAAGTGAGACTGACCTCTCATCCTCCTCGTCCTCGTCTTCGTTGTCCGAATCTGCGTTCCGGACGGTGATGTCCGGCTTGAGCTGTGCGGACCGCAGCAGGGGCGGCATCACGATCTCCATATACGGCAGGAACTCCTGACCCAGGCACTTGCAGAGCCGCGCCCAAGCCTGGCAGGAAACAGAAGAGGGACCAAGTTCAGTGTCTCATACCCCTTTAACTTGTTTCCCTTCTCGCAGATCCTTTCACAGCCAACATGACTTGGTTCCTCCGGATTCACTCTTGCCTCGCTCCTTGCAGAATCTCACGTTTGCCAACTCGACTTGAATTCCTCTAAACCGACATCAATAATGTGCGGAGCATTCTGACGTCAACACCGTCGAGTGGCACAAGACTGAGGCGGTGCTGTAACGTACCCTCCCTCCCAAACGAACAATCCAAAACCGGGATTGCTGCGAACCAGAGCGACAGCGTTGTCTATGTGCGGACACTCCGTCGAGCACGCAATTGCATCACAAGCCCCAATCTTTCCAGGAAACATCTCGCAAGCATACCTTCCCCGGAGAAACCTCCACAAGTGCAATTACGGTATAACCACCACTCCCACCCCATCAACTGACCAACCCAATAAGCGCACCTGCAGCATATAGCTTATCGTCGGGTCGTCGTCGTCCATGTCCGCGACCTGCAGCTTGATCAGCACGTCCATGACCTCTTTCGCGTCCGCGCGGAATTTATCTTTTCCGACGGCCATCCCAACTAGACTGATGCACTCCATGGACTTGGCGCGCAGCATGCGGTGCGTCTTGTCGGTCGCGTGCAGCAGGATGGACTTGAGGTACGGCATCACGGCGGAGTAGTACTTGTCGAACAGGTTCTGCAGGGAGGGACCAGGGGAGCGGTTCGACAATAGTCATCACTCATTAAAATTGAACTTGTGAGGGACTGGAAGTCCGGAAGCGGAAATGATCTTGAAATATGGCATCACGAGTAGTACTTGTCGAACAGGTTCTGCAGGGAGGGACCAGGGGGGAGATTCAACAGATGATCAGAGGCTTGACCGTTACTATAAGTCAATCTTGGCATATTGGCATCACCACCAAGTGATGCTTATTGGAGCAACTCAACGACGACGGTGAGACGCCTGGCCGTAAGTAGAAGACAACCTTGTAAAGGTTTATTGTATTTCGAGGGCAGAATGGATCGAGGTCTGTCAACCCACCGTAGTGCTTATTCAACAGAATCTGCAGAATTAAGCAAGGGACTTCAAACAGGCTGAACAACGAGGCCGCAACTAATCTTCTCTTAGGCGAACCCTTTCGTCTCGGCCCGCAAAAAAGGAATCAAGAGATGTACCGTGAAAACGGGCAGCACGCTTACCTGCGCGCAATCCGCGACCGATGCCAGGGCCGTCAACGCCCCTTCCTGCACCATTCTCCGGCCCCCTTGCTGCAAGTACGGAAAGGTGGTTCAGCAAGACACTCGGGGGAGCTCTTATTTGCACTCACTCCCCTCAACCCAAAATCGACCTCGCTTACAAACTTTCGGCGTCTCTGCTACAACGTTTGCACCAAAGGTCAACGTCGAGGAACGTCGAACGTGTCATCCATAACTGCGACTGTCTCGGTTATACAGACACGACTTTAACTAGACATGGAAAAGAACGTACAGCACGAATTGACCCTGTAGCATCGGAAAAGGGAACCCAAACGAAAGCTACGGCCTCACTTGTAGCAGCACCAACAGCTTGTTGATGAGGCTGTCGAGGTATGGTTCCAGGATCTCGGGCGCGCAGTTCTCTGTGAAGTTGAGTACCGCTGCGCTCGCATGCGCCTGCAGGAACGCGAGATGTATTTCGTGTGTGTTTCGGAGGCCATAGAAGGATCACGAGCTTCCGCCAAAAGGACACCTTGTGTTTGGAGCTTTGTTCGGGGGTCCTTTGAAGCCCTCAAAGCAACACTCCGTACCTAGATTGGATCGACCCCGACACTGCCGTTCCGGCCGGGCGTGTGAACAAGGACTTATCCGAACGAATGAACTCACTAACGAGGGGAGAAGGATTTCGCATTCTGCCCAGCCATTCGTTGGCGTCTGCCTTTCATGCACACCTGTGTCTCATGCCTCCCCCCGTCTAAGCACTTCACACTCTAGTACGGCTCACCTGCACCCGGGGGCTCTGGAAGTCGTCCATGGAGTTTAGCAGCGCTGGGAGGACTCTGGCGTGGAACTTCTTTTGCAGGTTCGGCCCCAGGTCGGTTGACAGCTGGCCAAGCGCGTTGATCGCGGCCCACCGAACGCGCGGGTGGGGGTCCCCCAGGGACGCTAGGATCATCTCCACGACAGGGCCCATGTCTTTCAACAGGACCTGCGAAGCAGGAGATGAGCAATGGGAAATGCACTCGCACTGAAGCCTATTCTCATCAGAAACAGTGGCAGAAGTACCCAGCTCTGACATGAGGAGCGCTCAGCGCGTATCACGGATAGGAACACACGAAAGTGTCCTCTCATCGACAGGGCCCGCGTCTAACAGGACCTGTGACGCAAGAAGTACTCCAGTCGGATGATAGAAACGGAAGTATTGCGGTCAATTGGATCCGGCCTTTTGTAGTGGCTGACGTACGCAGTCCTAACACAATGAGCACTTTGTATAATGTCCAGACTGTTTAAAGACGACGGTCAGCAGGTTTGTAAAGCCACCGCTCAACTTAGGACGCTCTTCACGACAGAGCACAAGATGTTGCGACTCAACCTGGACCACAATAACAACAATGCCATTGACATGGACTTTTCATTGCAACGACACCCCCAGCAAACACAATCCGAATATAAAGTCTAATAAAAGTAATCGACCTTCTCATGTCCCATCCGTCACAACGACCTCAGCCACTGGACAAACCACTCTCGAAAATAAAGCCTGATAGAGGCGTCTTCTTCTTGAAAAGCTTGTATTTAGAATGGGTCTCTCGAACTTGCCTTGGCGCACCCCTCAGCGATCTGCGCCAGTGCTATCAGCCCCGCATGCCGCTTCTTCCAGTCCTGGTCGATCAGGCATGCCGGCACCAGCTGACTCGCCACCGGGAGGATCGTGTTCCCGCCCAGTGAGATCGCCAATCGGTCCAAGCACTCCATCCCAACGTCGTAATTGTCCTCGTCGGTGATCATCTCCTCTTCGCTGTCGGCCGTGTGCCACTTTGGTTCGTCCTCAATGGAGAGCAGAAAGTTGAGGAGCACCGCAAAGAGGCGGCCGATGAGGTGCGGGAGCTTGCGCATCATGCCGGGGGCCTTGTCCCGCGCCTCGGCGAGCGTGACCAGGAATTCGACCGCCAGGTGGCGGGTGCTGTCCTCGAGTTGCTGGGCCTGCAAGCAAAGAAGCAGTGGGTGGGTTGATTATGTATTGCGTATGACAAGAGAAGTCGTACAAGGTGGTGGGAAGGACCAGCCTTCCGGGCAAAGAGACTGATCAATTGCCCCAACAAAAAGCATGATCTGTTTTGTGGCTTTCTTAAACATTGACTCAGAATTGAGCGAGTGCAACAAGAAGGCCTACATTGGAAGGGTTCGTGCACATTTACACGCAAGTCAATAGGACCAGGAGAACCCGCAACACCTAGTAGACAGGAGATGTCTCAGGCTGAAACTCCATTCACCCGGCGGAACAAGGCCCCCTGCTGTCAGCGCCACACGCTCTAAGAGAACTTGGGGTTTGTCAATGATTGAAAAGATAGCGGCTAGCTCTTGAGTGCCCCACCTCGGCAATCTGCAGCATGGCGGCCACCACGTCGACCAGCTGCTTTCTCAGGAACCGGGGCTCCGTGCCGGCAATCTCGATGAACATCTCGAGCGCCTCCTGCGCGGTTGCCTCCTCCCCGCTGTTCAGCGCCACCGTCAGTGTTTGCATCATTGCTGGCAGCAGATCCTGCCAAAAAAGGATGAAAGCAGGATATTCGGACACATGTCGGGCTATACAAGCTGCAAAAGGGGTTAGTAATGGCGGTTCTACATGCTGCAGAAGGCGAAACATAGATCGATGCGCGGCGCGCACATGCAAGGCAGAAACTTGACGGTCGGCACTGTTTGAAATGTTTCAACAGTTGGATTAAAGATATGGGTAACTATGTGGTGGTTGTAGCTGGCACCAGCAGCCTTAGACCATACTTCAGTCTTGAAAACATTCTGGGGCATCAATGATAAGCTGGGAAAATGAGTTAAACTTTAGAAGAGGCTAACGTTTGCAATCTGTCCGGGCCAGAGTTAAGTCTCCATGCCCAAAAGGTTCAGTGACCGGCATCTATCAGAACGACGATTCATTTGTTTTAGGCCAGAGATTCAACTCGTGCAACTGAAAATAGGACCGCACTGCTTCGGACATGGTGAAGGGGGCTTTTCTTTCAAACAAGTCGAACACCTCCGCAAAGAAAGTTGGTGGTGACCACCGATGCAGTTGTCAAGCATCTAGGAGTTGCGGCATTTCTGGATGTCAAGGACGCTGCATATCTAAAAGGATTCAAGCTGGAACCTCCAATACTCAAGATCCTCGTCTTGGCACAACTCAAAGCTAGCGAAACCGATGTTGGTTGCTGAACACGTCCAAGAACAGTAAGCCACCGAAGTAACGGCCCACACCCGGCCGCCAACACTCCTTGGATCGACGACACACAACCTTTCATTGGCAGCTGCTGAAAAGGATGGAAAGGTCAACTGATTATATTCACAATCAAACTGCCTACCAAGATCGACCACAGACCACTACTTGTTGAACAAGAGAGGCACTCAAACATCGGCAAGTCCTTGAAGACCTTTACCGCCACATTCTTGCTTTTACCTGAAACTTGTCCCTTTCGCTGGCCGTTTCCAACGTGGACACAAATGCGGTTGTCGCACGCAGCGCTGCCGTCCGAACGTCCGAACTGCTGCTGCTGGACATCCCTTCCTGGAACACGGCGTGCAGTGTCTGCAAGTATGGCTGCAGCTTGCTCCCCAGGTACGCCGCCAGCTGGCTGAATATAAGCAAGGCAATCCACCGTAGCCTATCGTCCTGAGACTGGACAGAATTGAACATGAACGGCAGGAGCTCCGGCCAGAGGCCCTCCTCAAAGATCCCCGCCGCTAGTTCTGCTATGCTATCGCACAGCTTCTTGCAGATTGTTTTGCTCTCCTCCTTTTGAACGCACTGCAAAAGCCCGCTTTTGACTCCATCTTGAGTCGCTGTGCTCAATTGGGGCCAAAGAGACACCTGGTCTTTCGTTATAACCTTCCTGAGCAGGACTGCAGCCATAGCCCGATTCTCCTGAACCGTCGAGCGGTGCAGCACGAGGACAAGCGTCGTCACCAAAGGGTCGGGGTGCTTCTTGCACTCCTCGAAGAGCGACTCTGCCTGGCCTCGCTCCGCATTGGACGGTGACATCAGCATCTTCAGCAGCGTTTCTGCATTGCTGAGGTCTGGCCCTAGCACCGCGCTCACAGCAGGGGAGACGGCCGCCATTGCGCCTGCGACCAATTCCCGCTGTCCTTTATAAGGCCTTCTGCGGTCAAAGCTTACAACAGCGTACCAAGATAGAGATGAGGTGCGGCGCTAGTGCCGCAAATGAGGTGCAACTTGCAAGGGAGAGATGCAACGACTTGGAGCTGGAGCCTGAGGACTTCTTCAGTTGTCCAGCTGCCTCAAGAAGTTGGAGCACCGTCGGCGTGAGTCGTGACGGGCCAGCTTGAATTGTTCGCGCCATTTTGGGAGAGCAATGACGTCATTCTGAATAAAACCAATGCCTTGAACCGGGCAGACGGTTTGCAGGTGTCCCACCCACAGTCGTAACTGCTGCCCACTCGGTTGGCTCTCTTGCAGTGCTTATAAGCAAGATTACAGCCACAAGTCGCGACCAGCGATAGCAATTTCTTTCCAGGTGGGACGGACTGGCCTTGAAGGCAGGGTTTCCCATGGATTTTTTGGCAGCCAGTCACGGAGCCGGCACTTGGTGATTTCTACCGGCCAGAACTTCCTCACAGCCTTCAAGCCGGCGGCCGGCATCCTTCCATTTGTGCCGGCCCGGTGCCCAAGAAAGCGCCTTTGACAAAATTCAAGCATTTTTTGGCGCTCCGTATCAATTTTAGGCACAAATGCCTAGACTCAGAGCAATTCTGGGCCGTTTGGAACATCAACAGAGGGAAATGATGATTTTATAGAGGGACTTTGTTACATAAGGTATAAGATTCAGCCGGTGGGGTGTGGTTTCTACCGGCTGCAAGCCGGCAAGCTAGCCGGCAGGGTGCCTTCGGCACCGGCTGGTCCTCCTCTCCAACCGGCTGAGATCGCCACTAAAGCCCGCCTATGGGAATCCCTGCTTGAAGGCCAAAATTTGACAGCCAAAGTATATCCAGTAAAAACTTGATGTATAAGCGCACCGTTTCTGAACCACCGAGAGCTGGAACAGTATAATTACCAATCTTCATGACCGGTGCAATCCACCGGGCGGAAGCGGGTTTGGAGATTGGGAAAGCTGAGCTGGCGTGCTGGACAATGGAAGAAGGAAGAAGGGCACTCCGAAGAAAGCGGAGGAAACGGAAGGAAGGGAAGGAAACCGTTTTCGGTTTGGAAAAGCCTGCTTGGGGCCAGCTCAAGAGGGGCCGTCGAAGCTCAGCAGAGCCCGTGGAGGGGCTTCTTTTGTGTGCAACAAGCTCAACATCCCGTTGCGGGGGCAGACAGGGAAGTGGGTTGAATTTTAGCGAACGGTTCCACTGGTCGCTTGACTGGTGGTCCTGCCAGTGATGTTTGCCTTTCCTAGTCATGGCCCAGCCTCCACCTGCGAATGCCAGAAGCAAGTACTCAAGTGTTAACCTCAACCAGTCCTATGGCAAGTCTCAGTCGCAATCGCAGTCGCCCGCGCCGCGGTCGCTTGGCCCACGGGGGTCGGGCGGCATGCTTGTCATGGGGAAGGCCAAGACTAGTGGGGGGAAGCTTGTGATTCCAAAGCCTGTGAATCTTCCGTCCCTGAAGAAAGAGCACGCCGGCAATGATCCAACAGTCAACCTGGTTGGGTCGTCCAGCGGATCCCTTGGTTGGCTAAAGCAGCAAGAGGAGCAGCGATTAGCGGCAGAGTCCCTCCCGGCACGCCCTGCATCTGCGGGGGATGCATTGGACCAGCCGAAGAAACCGTTAGACGATTCAGACACCCCGGCACGGATTGGGGCGTATGTGCCTCCCCGTAATTTAGGGTTTTCCAATGGCTTCCCGCCGCAGCGGCCTGTGATCCTCAGGGAGGAGTTCCCCACGCTCAGTGCGCTAGCGTTCAAGGAAGAGCAAGAGAAGCGGAAGCGGGAGGAGCAAGCACGGGTGAGGCAGCAGCAACAGGCGGAGCAGGCGAGGAAGCAGAAGGAGTCGCAGAAACAGCAGCAGGAGGGGCCCCATAAGCCGTTGTCGTTGGCAGGAGACGGTGAGGCCAGCGGTTGTTGATGCTTCCCTTCTTCTGTGCATCCTCGTTTTTGCCTACCACTAGTTGCTCACTTGGTGTTGGGGTCTGGATTTGTTCCTGTGCTTGGTTGCTGCTTTTGAACGACATGAACCTCAATTGGAAGGAGACCTTTTCCGGAACCTTTCCCATTATGCTCGTAGTTTGGCGATGTTACCAATCAGAGCAACAGAAAGCAGATAGGTAGGTAGGTTTCTAGTCAGGAGGCTGGGAATTATTCCACAATGACATGCCTCCACAATCTGCTGGTATGTGCTGTTAACTGTTATCGCTGGCTTGTAGAACGTTGAAGACCTACTGGAAAGTCTCACAGTCAATCAGAATCGAGAGTTACTCTAGTTGATGAGCTGACAAGGAGGTCGGGCTTTGTACTGTGTGACCCTTGAAAAGTCATTTAGCCAAAGGACGAATGCATTCAAGGCGCCAACACCACTAGGTTCCTTGTTCTCTTACAAGGTTTGCATAATTGGGTTTGAAAGGGTTCACTTTATTTGGTGCAAGCCTCTGCAAATGGTACAGTTTGTCGAGGGTGCGTAAATACACAGTTCTGAATGTTTACTGGTGTATCTCGACAGGTTTTCTAATTGCATCTTAGAATGGTGTTTACAACCTTTCAGCTGTGCTGCTTTGGTTGCTCGATTTTGCGATGATCACCTGGATTGCATAGATTGCATTCCCAATAGGTGCTTGAAGACCCTGTAAGGATGCTGAGTGTGAAAGTGAACTTCCAAAGGAAGGTGCTCTGGTGCTCTTTATTCTGCAACATTCAGCGATGCTGATTCAGAGTGATGACTGTTCTAGGTGTTGGCGACGACCAGCAGCCCCTCAAACCCCAAACCGCGCCAGCCAAGCTCTCATCCCCTGAAGAGAAGATAGAAGACACTGGGATAAAACTCCAGCCAGAAGCAGTTGACAAGACCCCCCCAAAGCCGAAGCCAGCGTCCAAGAAATCAAACTTCAGCTGGGCCGACGACGAGCGCGACACCCCTCCCCCCCTCCCCCCCAGCTTTGCAACCAAGCCAGACGATGAGCGCCCTTGGAGCGGGCCTGCCAGAGGGGGTTTCGACTCTCGCCTCGGACCAGGCTTCCGGGGGCCCCCGCCTCCTCTTGAGAGGGAGGGCCGCCCAGGGTTCGGCGCGCCGGTGCCTGAGCGGAGGCCGGTAGTGCCGCGCTTTGACAGCAGTTTCGGGCCGTCGGACAGGGTCCCCTCCGATCGCTTTGAGAGGGACCTCCCGGGCAGGTTTGACCCCCGAGCGCCGCCACCGCGAGGCCCGCCGGCCTGGGGTGACAGGAGCCCGGTTGGTCCTCCTGGGCGCTTTGACCGTGGTCCTCCCCCGCCAGAGAGGTTTGACCAGCGGGGACCTCCCCCCCGTCCTGACGTCCGATGGGGACCACAACGGGGCCCCCCCGGTCCCCCTGGACCCCCCGATCGCTTCGACAGGGGCGCACCGCCTCCGGACAGGTTTGCTCGTTTCGAACGGGGTGCACCGCCGCAGGAGAGGCAGCCCGATTGGTTCGAGCGGTTCGGCGTGGACAAGGGCCCTGACCGCTGGCGGTCTGCTCCGCGGGACGATGACTTTGGTCCTCGGAGGGACGTCGTCGGCGCCCCCCGGAGCACGTCCCCTCCCCCTCCGGACGCGGCGCTTCCAGTGAAGCGCGCGGGGCCAAACTTTGCAAGCGGGCCGCGGCCGTTTCAGGACCGGTCGCTGGAGGACTATGGTCGGATGGGGGTGCCGAAGATGGGGCTGCAGCACGAGGCGCAGGCCGAGAAGAAGAAGGCAGAGGAGTTTCGGGATCCGGTGAGGGAGGCGTTTGAGGCGGAGCTGGAGCGAGTGTATCAGCAACAGGAAGAGGAGCGGAGGCGGAAAGAGGACGGGAAGCTGGCGCTGATAGAGGCGGCCAAGAAGGAGCAAGAAGAGGCAGAGCGGAAAGTGAGAGAAGAGGAAGAGAGGGTGGAGCGGGAGAAGCGCGAGGCGGAGGAGGCGGTCAAACGGGTCGAGCAGGAGAGGCTGGACGGAATCAAGAAGGTGGGGGTGCTCGGCGTGCATGTTGGATTGGTTTTCTATCAAAAAAGGTCACCCTGCTGCAGGTTCTAGTTGTTTGTTGTGAAGGGTTCTGTTTGTGGCTTTTGCCGGGGCTGTAACCTCGGCGGTTGGGAGTCATGGCATCACAGAGTTGCATATAGTATCCTAGACTTGAGAGCTTGAGGAAGTGGCTTGCAGGCTCAAACGCGTCAGATTACACTGCTAGCTAAACTATAGTAGTCTGGTATAGCAGCATCTTCTGAGAGGGACAGCAGCGCATCCAATTCCTGCGCAGGTTAGACGGTCATGACGATAGCACATGGCAATTAAGGCTGTCATTGCGCGAGGGTCCGTATTGAGCTTCTTGCACGTCTTCAATCCGCATCAACTTCTCAGGACAGCGCAGGCATTTGGACATCCGCTTCAATAGATTGTATTCATAAACTTGACCGTTCTTCTCCTGGCGTGTGCAGCTTGAAGAAGAGAAGAGGAAGCGAGAAGATGAGAAGAGGGCGGCAGACGAGGCGGAGAAGCAGCGGGTCGAGAATGCTCGCAAGAAGCTGCAAGAGCTGGAGGAAAGGATTGCTCGACGAGAACTTGAGCGGAAGCAAAAGGAGGAGGAGGATGCACGGAAGAAGGTTGAAGAAGAGGAGGCTCAGAAGAGAGCAGAGGAGGAGGCAAAGCGGGAGGAGGAGAGGCAACGAGTTGCAGAGGAGAAGAGGGTGAGCATTGCGCCTCTGCTGAGAATCCTGCTTTCTTGGCTGTCGCACAATTCTAATCTGCTCTTTTGAAAGGTCAGAGTTTGCTTTGGCTAGAGGATTTTTCTTGTTGCAGTTGTAAGTGAGGGTCTGAGCTGGTACAGTGGTAAGGCTGAATGGTGTCTTTCGTGCCAACTACTGAAGAATCAATTGTGAGAAGCCATCGTGTCTGCAAAAAGAGGGGCCTGACCTGTGCACAAGGGCGCTTGCGATCGGTCTCTGCCTCTGACTTGACCCATGTTCGTGGTACCGGGTACTAAAGAGCAGTTTGGTCTCAGACGATTCCATAAAGCTTTCTTGGGTGACAGATACTGGACATTGAATTGACAGGTTACTTGAATATTTTCAGCGAGGTATGTTCACGTTCTTTGCCAGACAATGAAAAAGTTATCGCTTTTTGCACAGCCACTCTTTTTCTTAGTATTGTGGCGTCCTTGGCCTCACTGGTCTGGTTGCAGGTAAAGAAAGACATCTATCTGCTCTTACTGTGGCTTAGTAAAAGTCGTTTGATGCTTGATGTTTGATGTTGCATGAAACGCGCTGATGCTCGTGAGGGCTTAACCGGCCGGTTCTGCAGCAAGCTGGAAGCCTGACTAGGTCCCCACAGTTGATTTGTTTTGCTAAAGGCTAGGAGGAAGATGGTTATGATTCACTGTATTCTTGTGATTGCTGCAGGCCAAGGACGAGGCAGAGAGGAAAGCCCGTGAAGCTGCCGAGCGCAAGCAGCGAGAAGAGGAGCAGAAGCGCCGCGAGGAGGAGGATGCGCGCCGCCGGGAACGGGAGCCCCCCCTCCGGCCGCCCCC